GTAAACAACCCGGTATTTCACCAATCTGACTAACTACCCCCAACAGTTGAATAAAATCAGACTATAGAAATTGCAGACCAGAAGACATTAGGCTATGGTGAGCTGTGAACCACAAGACAGTTGACACAGTTGACTGAACAACCCAACCGTTGACACATCTGACTGTAAACAACCCAGTATTTCACCAATCTGACTAACTACCCCTAACAGTTGACACAGCTAACTGTGAACCACAAGACAGTTGACACAGTTGACTGAATAACCCAACAGTTGACAAAACAACCTAACAGTTGACACAGCTAACTGAACCATCCAACAGTTGACTGAATCACCCAACATTTGACACATCTGACAGTGAACCACCCGACATTTGACACATTTGTGAACTATCCAACAGTTGACACAGCTGACTGTGATCCACAGGACAATTGACACATCTGACAGAACCACTCAACAGTTGACACTGCTGACTGAACCACCCAACAGCTGACACATCTCACTGAAGCACACAAGAAATGACAAAGCATACAACCTAACAACAATGTGTTAAGAATTAATAGAGAAAATGTATATGCTTTCCACTGCATTAGGAATGTTTACAACATGTCAGCCGTGATTTAATATTTGATCTACTCAAAGGCAAAGCTTGACATATTTTTCTAAACAAAATTCATGCCATAATTTGTTTCCATTATCACTATACATAACTTCTTTTTACCAGTAATGTAATCATGAATCATATAAACTACACTTAGCAAAACTGACTGGTTCTGCATATTTGATAGAATAATTATCAGATTATTTGCTCAGCAAATGAAACTGGTTGGGTGTGTATTTGAATGAAAGGACACATCTCCTTGACTTGGAGCAGGTATATGATGCTGACTCTATAACTGTATAGACCAATCGGCATTCATAGGGTATGTAAATATCAGAGGTAGGACACACTCACCTAGCATTCACACGATACTGAAAAATTATCAGCTGCATTGGAATGGTCACCTAGCCTGAATGCCAGACTATTGCTTTGCAAACAGAGTATTTTATGATGAGCTCCACCAAGAGAAAAGATCCCAGGGAGAACCGAAAAAGTTCTCTAAGGACACTCTCAAAACTGCTCTCAATTCTTTTGGCATCAACAGAGCGAGATGGGAGGCTGCTGCATATGACTATTCTAGATGGCATACATCCCTCAGACATGGTGCATCAGCTTGCTAGGCAGCGGAGGTTGCACAGGCAGAGAAACTGAGGCAGACTAGAAAGAATTGTAATCCTAATCCCACACTTACTGCGGCTTGCAAATGTTTTCCACACTGCTTAAGAACTTTTCCAGGCTCATATTGGACTAATCAGCCACCTTCGTACTCATAATCATTGATCATTACTACTTTGGATGAAAGATTATCAGATGAAACTGGTTGGGTGTGTATTTGGATGAAAGGACACATCTCCTTGACTTGGAGCAAGTATTTTATACTGACTCTATAATTGCAGAGACCAGTCGGTCCATAGTGGATCAGGATCACCAAGGTATCCACGACATGGAGGTGACAGCCATCAAATCTAGCCATTCCAGTGACAGAGTCCGCAAGTCTCTTGAAAATCGCTTTATTTTCACTTTGTGCACTTTAACACCTAGAGGACTGAACTGCCAACACAGTTTTTTCTAAATTTCTAGGGGATTGAACTAACACTGTTTTATCTAAACTCTCCAGTTAAGCCTCTGGAATTCCCCATTGGTATTTATTATTCTGTCCCACATGTCTCCAGTCTACTGACAAGACATTAACCTGGTTGCTTTGAGATACTGAGCTAGGTGATTTTGTGTATTTGTGTGGTATTGCTTTATTCATGTATGTGCTGATGAAGGTTCCATAGCCGCAACTTATATGCTTTTGTTTGTGTTCGTTATGTTGTGAAGCTTGCTGATGTATTTTTTGTTCGGTTTTAAATCTTTTCTTGAAACTTTGGATGAAAAGTGGTCTTCATCACTCACGATGAACGAACAACAAGTAACAGAGAGTATCCTAATGGAGCAGTATACACAATACAAGGTTCTGTCTCTTATCCTCTCTTGTTCAAGCCTGCCTCACCTTCACATGGTGGACCTTGTTCTTCTTGATGATCCAATGGAGGACTGGAGTTCCAACACCCTGCAGAAAACTGGACAGGGCACACAATGAAGTGATGCTGAACTCCGGTTCCACTGAGCTGTGAATTTCATGGGGGAATGCTTATTGTCTGTGCTTTCGGAGATGTGTGTTGTACACTGCATATTCAGAAAATTGCAAACGGCTGGTTTCCACAGAACTGTAGTGCACTTTATGCAAAAGTATGTGCCTACTTGCATATTTGTTGTGACTACTGTTTCTATCAGCTACGAATAACAATTATAGTGACAAGACTCTAGGTGTTGGCAGCTGCTTTATGCATTTGATCCATGTGCAGGTTGTTGGAGTTTGCCTTGGCTGCTGCCTGTTTTGACTTTTCACACTGTACAGCGATGGGCATTTTGTGCAGTTTTCACTGACACACAAAATGGAACAATTATGGGGTGACCTGTCTGCAGTGAAGTTGGAACTGCGACCAAGAATCTACAAGTATTATCAGGTAACCCGCCTGCAGTGAAGTTGGAACTGCGACCAACAAACTATCAGTATTATCAGGTGGCCTGCCGCCAGTTAAGTTGGAACTGCAAACAACAAACTATCAGTATTATCAGGTGGCCTGCCTGCAGTGAAGTTAGACTGCGACCAACAAACTACCAGTATTATCAGGTAACCCCCCTGCAGTGAAGTTGGAACTGCGACCAACAAACTATCGGTATTATCAGGTAACCCGCCTGCAGTGAAGTTGGAACTGTGACCAACAAACTATCAGTATTATCAGGTAACCCACCTGCAATGAAGTTGGAAGTGGGACTGACAGCATATCAGTATTATTCAGAGATACGTCTGCACCTGTTCCAGAACCTGAGTGTTGGATGTGCATCCGTTTTACAGATTTGACTCATTTGTATCCTGACTGCTGGTTCCTTGCCTCTCAGGCAGATGCACTCTTTCGAAGGAAGCTCTCAATTAGTCGACACTTATGACATGCTTTTGGGTAGGCAGTGGGTCTGTTCTTGTTTTCCCTAAAAAAAAAAAAGGGGGGCCCCGGAACCCATACAGGGAGCCTATCAGTTTTATGCTGTCCCTCTTTACTTCCCAGGTGCCAATTTAGATTGGATTTACCTGGAAATTGCCACTACTCAGAAACACTGTCTAGGTATGGACAAATGGTGGCAATGACAAAAGCTAGAAGATCTGATTACGGAACATGTGCCATCTATCCTTTTTAACTACACTAACCAACTGAAACAAAACAATGATAAAACAACTACAACAGTCACAAACCAGACTTCAAATTTAATAAATGAAACAAAATAGTTTGACAATATTTAATGTCCATCATTAACAAATCAAGTTAATTTCACATGTAACTAAATGTCCATCATTAAGCAAATCAAGTTAACTTCACATGTAGCAGTCATGACAACTGAGACAATCATCACTACATTATACAGTAATTAGCACACTGAACCGCCAAGAAAGCAATGGCAAACAAAACAACAAGGTTTGGCTGTGCAAAAACAGCTAGTATTTAATGTCCATCTTTAAATAAATAACTTCACAGGTACACAGTCATGAGAAATAATGTCAATTTTCCCAGTAACACCACAGTCATCTAATGCCGGAATTTTTGTGTGACCCTTGTAAGTAAGTAAAGGACCCTTTTCCACCCCTTTAGGCATATAGGGCTAGACCTATATTTTATAGACCAATCAACACAAGATAGGTGATGTGGTCAGCATCACGTCAGCCACCTTTACTTACAGGGACTGCATCGGTACCCACTCAAGGCTGGGTAAACCTGGGAGCAGGGATCCTTTTTTAAGGTCCAGGGAGCGAACTCACGACATTCCGATTCGCCGTGAGCGTTTGACCCCTGTAAAGGATATATAGTTTTTATTTAACCCTGATGACGTTAACAAATAGGCCATAATCCTCTGGAAATCCCCCCCCCCCCCCCCCCCCACCCCATTTTAATAAAATAATTTTTTTTATATTTCTCAACATATTCAGACACATTAAGGCAGTAATCAATAAATATGAACACACTGAAACATTAAATGGATAACATTCTCCAGGGCCTAAAAAATATGTACGAGTGGTTCAGGCCAACACCCAGTGATCTCTGTCACTAAAACCTATGTAACAATTTGTCATTAACTTGGCTTCAACAAAAGCCATGTGGTTTATTCTTTTCAAAATTTAAAGATATATACAAATAAAGATATAATCAGTTAACATGAACAGACAAACATTATATGGAAAACATTCTCCAAGACCTGAAAATTATATGTATGGGTGATTCAGGCGATCACCCGGTGACGTTTATCACTGAGGCTTATGTAACAATTTGACATTAACTTAGCTTCAAAAAACTTTTTTTTTTTTTTTCAAACATATGAAGATATTTAAAGAATTAATCAATAAACATGAACAGACTGAAAAATTAAATGGCATACATTTTCCAGCCCCCGCCCCCCCCCCCCCCAACAAAAAAGTACTTACTGCATGACTCAAATCACCACCCCCTGACCTCCTTTAGAGGCTTATGTAAAAATCTACATCAAACTGGCTTTTAAAAAGTGATCTGTTTCACAGGACACTTCTTCCCCCCCAGATGTACGCACATGTACAAACACTGCCAATAGCATCCCATAAATATGTCACTGTAGGACTGTCAGTTAAGTAGCTTACTCAGGGAATTGAACCCTACAACAAGACTTCAAGACAACATGTGAGATTTTGAGAGACTGTGGCTATATTTTGCATTACAAGACAGTATGGTTACAACATTTCACACATTGAGACAATTCAATAGTTCACAATACAGCAACATCTCCAAAAGAAAATGATAACATAGATGATATGACCATCAATGTCTCTACATGGTTATTTGCCTTGTTGACAGGCCACTGGCTCTTCTTGTCTGCCAGTGAAAGACTCCATGAACCTGTCGGCTTGGAAGAACTGCATGATTTCATACATCACTGACACCGGCAGCATTCTGAAACAACCAAATAACACATCAGCAGTTTCACAACACACATTTCAAACTATGCCCCACTCAACCATCATTATTCTCAACTTATTTGTCTCAACAAATATTTTACACTGTATCCAACCCAACCAACATTATTCTCATATTTCTCTTAAACTTTTCATACTGTGCCCCAATCAACCAACATCATTCTCATATTTCAACAAACACTTCACACTGTACCCCAGTCAACCAAATTACATGTGGTCTGTAACATACAAGCTGTATTACATTTGAGCAGTATTACATGTGAGCTGTGTGTGTCATAGATGTGGTGGGTCACAGCTGAGATGTGTCATAGGTGAGCTGTGTGTGTCATAGGTGTGGTGGGTCACAGCTGAGATGTGTCATAGGTGTGGTGGGTCACAGCTGAGATGTGTCATAGGTGAGCTGTGTTACACGTGCGCTATATCATACGATATGTCGTGATTGTAACAGACTCTGAGAGCATGCTGAGAAAGGTGAAGATAGGTATGCTTCGAACATAGTGGCAAGCTTCACAGGGAAGGTCCTGAGTAGTTAGCATGCTTTGGATCTTTTCTCCAGGCTATGCCGGTTTAGTGGGTAATGAACAGGCAGACAGATTGGCTAACTCTGCACCACTGGGTGGTGAACTGACACATGTCAAGGCCCTTGGGGAACAAGCAACGGAATCAGTAGACAAACAAGATTATTATGGTCTGGAGAGAGTGAGGCACCTGGGCGTAACCAGAGGGTCTGGCCGGCTCACTACACTCAGAGGAAAGGCAAGATGAATATAAAACCAGATTGTGACTGGTACCATCAGCACTGGAACTCTGCGCTGACTGCTGAAGATAAGGATGGAGCACACATGAGAATGCCCCGAGTGTTGTGATGTAAATTCTTGACTCAAATCAAGTCAACTATGTCACACCTGAGCTTTATTACATATAAGCCATATTTCGCCTGAGCTGTGTTACTCGACAAAGAAACTCTGCAGGCACATCAAACTGACAAGGAACATAGTAAGTTAGAATAAAGGATGTAAAGGAAGCAAATCTTACTGTTTCAGTGCAGCCATAACGCAGACCATGCGTGGAATGTATACTTCATGTTCATTAGTCAGAATGGCCTGCATTATACGGTCGACTGTTGGCTTCAGCTCCAAGGTTGGTAACAATGCAGGGTAACTAAAAACAAAAAAAAAAAATGTCACAGCGGTCAGTTTCTGCAGTCTATTTATATCAGTGACACTGTAGCACACAAACACAAGTAAACTGTTATATCAGTAAAGCAGTCACTGTAATGACAAGTTGCTGCATCAACAACCATAAACATAAATAAGCCAAGAGAAGATAAGAATGGTTACTTACACATGCAGAAGAAAACTGTAGTAACTTCCCCTTACCTTGCTTTGCAAACAGTTTGAAAAGACCAGTCTATCGCTGTTCCAACATTTGGTCACGTACAGATAATATATCTTGGTCAGTTACAGATTATCTTAGGACATGCTCAAGTAGTCAATCTGACTGAAGTAATGCTCAAGAAGTCAATATGTCTGAAGTCTAATCAGCTAGCCAATCGGCTTGAAGAGATCCCCCCCCCCCCCCCTTCTAGAAAAAGAATGTTCTGGTACTTAAATGTCTTAAAAGGTGCTGGTACTCAACACAAAGTGCCTATTAAAGTAGCTCTAACAAAAATTGTGCCTTAGACAACAGGTGCTGGTACTGCATATTGTTGCGTACCGCAAAAAAAAAAAAAAGCCCTGGTCTGAATATATGCCCTGGTCTAAATATATGTTCAAGACGTCAATCTGACTGAATCAGTCTGTCTAAAGACTGATGTACTCAAGTAGTCAGTCTGAGGTCCCGATCAAGTAGCCTAATTTGTCTGCTCAAGTAGTCAGTCTTATCTGAAGTCCATATGTCTTAAATCAGTCTAAAAATATGCTTTAGTTATCAGTTTGTCTGAAGTTATGGTCAAGCAGCAATGTATCTGAAGACCTGCTCAAGACCTCACTTATCTTAAATTAATGTCTTAATCAGTTCAAAGTCATGCCCAAATAGCCAGTTTTGTCTGAATTCAAGTAGTCAATCTGTCTCAATACTGATGTGTCTTAAAAAATTCAGACAAAACTGCCAAATCTGCGGTGTAAAGTCGATCACAAATGATCACTTTTTACACACCACTTTTTTTATTATCTCCTAAATATTAAAAAAAAAAAAAAGCAAAAAAAAACAAGCCAGCTGTTTTCTTATTTATATGAAATTCTTGGCAACAAGCTCCAAGCAAAATCAGCAGTGACAAGATGACCACACACAGAAACCCTGTTTGTTTATAGTTTACGATAAGAGGCCCTAATAGATTTAATGTGTTATCACAGGGTGCAAACTGACAGCCTGACATAAATTAAACATTTTTCAAGACACAGACAGACAGACAGACAATAAACTATTTCATTACATAAGTATACAATAAACAATTAAATTAAACAATAAACTAAATCGCATAAACAATAAAGAATTACAGCAGACATCCACACAATAAACGCCTATGTTAGATAGATAATAAACAACTGCATAAGAGAGACAATCAAAAATAACAGCAGACATCCATACAATAAACAACTTTGTCAGACAGAAAATAAAACAACTATATCAGATAGACAAACAATTACAGCAGACATCCATACAATAAACACCTATGTCAGACAGAGAGATAATAAACTACATAAGATAGACAATTAAAAAAAATAAGGCAGCAGAAATCCATTCATTAAACAACTTTGTCAGACAGACAGATAATAAACAACTACATCAGACAGATACAAAACAATTATAGCAGACATCTATACAATAAACAACAACATCAGACAGATAGATAAGATATACAACTACATCATTTAGTAGAAAAAAAGTTAAAAAATTACTACAGACAGCCATACAAAAATAATCAACTACATCACATAGAAAGAAATAATTAACAAGAAATAATTAACAACATCACATAGACAGACATCCAATAAACGACTATATTAGAGACAGACAGACAATAACAACTACATCAGACAAACAACTACAGCAGATAGACATCCAATAAACAACTACATCCAATAAACAACTACATCTTATAAACAAACAATAGCAAAGACAGCAGACAGACAATAAACAACTACATCGGACAATAATAATGGCATCCGTCAGCCCCGGGGGACTATGGAGATGTGCCGCTGGCTTTGGGAACAGCATCTGCTGTGACTGTAAAGTCCGATGCGGGAATGGCAGCCTTTGCCACACAGGATACACACAAAAGCAGATACTCCCTCGTTGTGAGGCAGTTTTACTCTCCGGTGTCTCCTCTCCACAGCTCATTGTGTTCGGTTTCTTTCAAAGTGTGACAGTCTGTCTTTCACTTTCTGTCTCCATAGTAGTCGATCTGCAGCTTAATTTTCTCATGTCTCTGTGCCTATGTTGGTATCTATTAGGTCACGTTTGCATACATCTTTATAGCGCAGCTTTGGCCTTCCTTTAGGTCTATTCCCAGCTACCAATTCACCATATAGGAGATCTTTTGGAATACGACCATCCTCCATGCGGGAGACATGTCCCAGCCAGCGCAGACGTCTTTGCTTCAGTATACAATACATTGATGGTATTTTTGCTCTTGTGAGCACACATTCGTTGGAGACAAGGTCTCGCCATAAAATACCAAGGATGCGTCTCAGACAGCGCATATGGAAGGTATTCAGTATTTTTTCCTGTGGAGCATAGAGTCCAGGATTCGCAGCCGTACAGTAATGTGCTCAGGACACAAGACTCATAAACCTTCATTTTTGTATTAACAGTTATCTTTTTGTTTGACCAGACTCTCTTTGTGAGATTTGCAAACATAGCAGAGGCCTTTCCTATATGTTTGTTTAGTTCTGCATCCAGAGAATGATTGCCTGAGATATGTGAGCCTAGGTACACAAACTCATTTACAGCCAGCAGCTGATGGTCATACACACTAATGTTTGGTGGATTTCCAACATTCAAACCCATCACTTGTGTTTTGTTCAGACTGATGGTAAGCCCAAATTCTTTGCAAGCATTTGCAAAGCAATTCATCAGCATCTGCAGATCATCCTCTGAATGTGCCACAATGGCTGCATCATCCGCAAACAGAAAATCCCTGACGCATCTCGTGTGCACCTTCGTCCTTTGCACGTAGCCTGGACAGATTAAAAAGATTGCCATCTGACCTCGAACGGAGGTATATCCCCTCAGTTGCTGTCCCAAATGCACGCCTCAATAATGCGGTAAAAAAGATGCCAAACAGCGTGGGAGCCAGAACACATCCTTGCTTTACTCTAATTTGAATCTGGAAGGGTCGAGATGATGAATCCTCGTATATTATGGTCCCTCATATTCTCATGAAAGGATTTGATTAGGCTCAGTAGTATAGGTGGGCATCCATATTTTTCAAGGATCCCGAATAGACCATCTCTGCTGACATAGGCCTTAGTGAGATCTATGAAAGCAATGAGCAGTGGCCTCTGTTGCTCTCTGCACTTCTCTTGTAGCTGCCTGATGGAGAAGATCATATTTCTCGGACATATATATATAATAAACATCGGACACATATATATAATAAACAACAACATCCTGCAGACATATACATCACACAGACCTTCAAGATCACAGGGTTTCAAATCAGCAGATCTGAACAGAGTTATAGACTAACCAGATGATGATCAGAAAATGCATATACTTACGCCATTTCACAGCCCGAAAACATATCCGTGCGAATGTGAGAAGGGCTCACCAAGGTTGTGAACACACCATCATGTCCAGAGAAGTGAATTTCATAATTCAGGGTTTGGGTGAAACCAGTGACACCAAATTTAGAGGCACTAGCAACAATAACACAAATATATAGCCAAGTTGTTCAAGAAGTACTAGCAACAATATCATTAATTTACAATCTGGTTATTCAAAGGGCACTAGCAACAATAAGGCAAATATATAATCGGTTACACAAGAGTCACAAGTGACAATAAAAAAACTGGAAAAAAAAACCAATATAAAATCTGGTTATTCAACTAGCAACAATAACACAAATATACAATCTGGTTATTCAAGAAGTACTAGCAACAAAAACACAAATATACAATCTGGTTATTCAAGAAGTTAGTTAGTTAGTTAGTTGGGTTATCCTCATTGCACTCCGGACATGTCCATAGGTGCTCAGATCCTCCCCTCAGTATGAACCCCAACATCCGATGGCTAATAGTACCAGTTCTATGTTGATTAACAAGTCTTCTGGCGTGTCTGGTGTGTGTCTCGTTTTTTGCTGTGCCGATCTTAATTCCCAAGTCTGCCATTCTGGCGAGTGATGTGGATTCACTGCCACCAAAGTCCTCTATCCTTCCCAATTCTCTGAGGGCATTGATAATATCAGCATGATCCATAGGCTGACCGTCAGTAGTGATAGCGGATACAGCCAACCTGTCAGCTCTTTCATTTCCATCGACGCCTGCGTGTCCCGGAACAAAAATAAAGGTGACTCCACGCACAGTGGACTTCTGTAATGATTCAAGCCATTGTCTTCGCACTGAACCTGCCTGAACCCTCCGGATCATACTCATTGAATCACTGAGTATACACACGCGGGTGTATTTTTTGTTTCAAGCCAGGCAAGCGCTTGCGTCACTGCCATCACCTCCATCGTCATGCTGCTGGTTGTCATGGAGAAGGCGCCGTTGGCTTCTTTGACTGTTCTGCCCGCTGAGCGTGCTGTAAATGCCCATGCGCTTCTTCTTTGGCGTATAACGGATCCGTCTGTATAGATTATTGCATCTGCTTCGTCTGAATTTTCACCGATGAGAGCGTTAACCTCTGCATTAACAGCAACAGGATTCTCTTCTCTACATCGCCTGTTGAGTGTGACAATACAGGAAAATGTACAAATAAACGCCTGAGGCACAGGTATCCATTCTGCACCAGGTATGATGTCGGTTAGGCTGCATATTTGCCTAATAACATCTTCTGCCCGACATAGCCACGATTTCCCCCTCTTCAGTCTGTCGCCCTTTTCACCAAAAAGCGCTTGATGCAGTGGGTGTTTCTTATCAGCACATATTTTGAGATATGCCCGAGCCCTCCACATCCTGATCCTTTGGTTCATTGTTGGAAAGTCAAGTAGATACCTCATTGCTCCACAGGATGTGTCTCTTGTACATCCCAAAATAATGCGCATGGCTTCATTTTGCACCTTTTCGAGTCGTTCAATCTGGGTAGCACTGACAGTGAGGATGGCCAGAGCATATTCAATGGGGGAAAGGACCAGACCGTAGAATAGAAGTATTAGTAGTCTTTGCTCGATATTGGAAGCAGCCATAATCCTCATTGCAGATAGACCTTTGCATGCTTTTGTTATCACATGGTCAACGTGTTCCTTTGAATGACAAGCTGCGATCGAACCTCACCCCGAGAAACGTCATAACGTTGGTTCTGATCAATACATTATCACGCATTTTCACTTCTGGTAAGTCCGACTTGACAATGTGATTGTTCAAAGAGAACCATGACACTGATGCCTTCGAAGGATTGACATAGGCATTGGAACCATCACACCAGGCGGCAATTCGATAGAGTTCTTTGTGCATAGTGCTGGCGATCTCCTGTCTATCACGCCCTCGTCGATAAATCAAAATGTCATCAGCAAATGACAAAGTCCTTCCCTTTCCATTTAACTGCTGCTCAGTGATCATCACCGTATAAACGTTGAATAAGACTGGTGATAGCGGTGATCCCTGTGGCAAGCCTGTACATATCGTTTGCAGTTCTGAGGACCAGCTACCACATCTTAGTACAATCTTTCTCTGGAACAGGACCGCAGCAATCCAGTGGATCAGAATAGGATTAACTTCTAGTTTAAGCAGTAATTGCATTAAATAATCATATGGTACTTTATTGTGGGCATCTTTTAAGTCCAACACTGCCGCACATGTCTCTTCTTTAATCTGAAATCGCTCGTACCCATCGTAGGCGAAAACTGCAGCATTGAACCATGTCTCTTTATTTAACCTGTACCCTCCAAGTGTTGGTGGGAACTTATCATGTAGTTCCAAGTAGGTGGTCAATCTTTGAGCGACAATTTTTTCCAAAAGTTTACCAACAGTATTCTGCATCGAGATGATTCTGTAGCCGCAGATCTTTGAGTGGTCTTTATTAGGCTTTGGTAGTGGGAACAAATAACTATGGAGCCATTCCTCTTGTATCTGGCCACTCTGGATGCTGATATTGAATTCCTTTGCCACGCTTTTCAAATCAGCATTCGACATCATCAGCATGTCGTTGTATCGGATGCCGTCAGGGCCTGGAGCAGTGCTGCGCGATTTCTTGAGGCAAGTTCTTAAGGTATCTGCAGTGAGTGTGAGAACAGTGCCTAGCACAGTGTTCTCGCACAGCATCGACAGTTTCATCTCAACCCCTATTCTTGTAGCTTTGTCTTTTTGGTCAGTTTGCTCCAAGTAGCGCGCAAGAAGGGTTTTTCCTTTATCAGCATCAGTTCTCTGCCATATCAGGTCTGTACCCTGAAAATCAGGGATACCCCTTGGTCATGCAGGGCCGTGCATGCTCCGTTGAAGGCGCCAGAATGTCACAAGAGATCCCTCGGAGCAAACGCTCTTGCAGAATTCGTTCCATTTCGCTGTCTTAGCTTCCTTCGCAATTAACTTGAAAGCCACTGTCTGCTTGTTGACCTCATCTTTCAGACTGATCAGGAGTTCAGAAAGTGACGGATCAATTTTCCTTGCCTTTTGCCATGCCTTGACAGCTTTCCTTTTTTCTAGCCACGCCATGTTGACTACTTCATTCCACAATGGTGGCTGGGCCCATCTCTCCCGCCGTCTGCAATCTGCTCTTGTTTTACGTCGTTGGATTTTGCTAATGGCATCTTGCCCTGTACGGTCAAGAAGTACTAGCAACAATAACACAAATATACAATCTGGTTATTCAAGAAGTACTAGCAACAATAACACAAATATACAATCTGGTTATTCGAGAAGTACTAGCAACAATAACACAAATATACAATCTGGTTATTCGAGAAGTACTAGCAACAATAACACAAATATACAATCTGGTTATTCAAGAAGTACTAGCAACAATAACACAAATATACAATCTGGTTATTCAAGAAGTACTAGCAACAAATAACACAAATATACAATCTGGTTATTCAAGAAGTACTAGCAACAATAACACAAAATATACAATCTGGTTATTCAAGAAGTACTAGCAACAATAACACAATATACAATCTGGTTATTCAAGAAGTACTAGCAACAATAACACAAAATATACAATCTGGTTATTCAAGAAGTACTAGCAACAATAACACAAATATACAATCTGGTTATTCAAGAAGTACTAGCAACAATAACACAAATATACAATCTGGTTATTCAAGAAGTACTAGCAACAATAACACAAATATACAATCTGGTTATTCAAGAAGTACTAGCAACAATAACACAAATATACAATCTGGTTATTCAAGACGTACTAGCAACAATAACACAAATATACTAAACTTGAAATGTTTAATTCTAATGTTAAATCAGTACTGTTGTTTGGAGCAGAAACATCGAAAATACAAAAATTACTAACAAACTAGGAACATTCATTAACTGGTTCTTGCGCAGAATAGAGGGAATTAAATTATATGATAGAATCGCTAATGTTGAGCTCTGGGAAAGAACTAAACAAGTTCCAGTGGCCCAAAAGATGCATAAAGAATGCTGGCATTAAATAAGACACATGTGAAAAAAAACCTGAGAACAATTTAACTAGAATGTCTTTGCACTGGAACCGGCAGGGGCACAGAAATAAATGCAGACCAACAATCACATTGAGAAGGGAGCTGGAGAATGAAAAAAGATGGGGAGGACATGGGGAGAGCTGCATGCCAAGGATACATAGAATGACTTGGCGTGAGTTGGGTAAACGCCTATGCTCCATTTGGGGATAGAAGGCAGAAGAAGAAGAAGTGTACAAATACTGCCATCTTGATGGAACTGTAGACTTCACAATCAAATGCTATTTGCAATAACCTTAAAATTTTTAAAGCGGCCTGAAGGTCTTGGGTTCAAATCCACACTATGGCAAAGTTTTTTCCAGGTTGACCTTGGCTCTCAGGTTGACCCAAATGTGTACCAGTAAATGTCATTGGAAGTTAAAGTGACCAGTGTAATACAGACCAAATCACCCATCAAGTGCCGCCTAGATTCATATGCTCAATGCACCAGTGGTGTAATAAGGGTCTTTTAATATGTTTTTCTTCTTCTTCTACCCGCTTAGCCTCCCCGATCAAGGATGCCTCTATAAGCACAATGGCCTGCAAAGAAAAGTCATGTCAGTACACAAACCTGAAGCAATTTAATATGATTAAGTATTTGGGTACCCTGATAACATCAGATGGAAGATGTATTTTAAGGAAGTTAAATGTCGAGTAGCTCAAGCAAAGTCAGAATTTTACAAAATTAAAATATTTTATGCAATCCTTCTTTGTCAGTTGAGACGAGAAGAGAATTCTTAAAAGCTATATAAATCCTATACTGATATATGGGTGAATCATGGACAGTTGGTAAACTAGTGAAAACTTATTTGGAAGCCGCAGAGAAGTGGTGTTTTAAACGAATGATGAGAATACCCTGGACAGATAAAAAAGAGTAATGAAGACATCTTGAAAAAAACTAACCCACAAAGAGAATTGATTGCCCACATTAGAAAAAGACAATCTACAATCTTTGGCCATGCCATGAGAAGGAGAACACTGGAGTACATAGTGACAGTAGGAAAGTTGGAGGGGAGGAGAGGCAGTGGGAGACTGAGAGAACAGATGCTGGACAGTTTGACATCATGCATGGAGGATCATCTGTATCAGAGTTGATTGAAAGTACACGAGACAAAAGGTTGTGGATAGTCATAACTACCCGCGCCATACGGCATGGACTTTGAGAAAAAACTTTTTTTAAAATTTTTTACCCTAGATAACTACATAGAGTCACAGTGCTGGGCCCAAGTCTAGCCAAATAAGTTGCTATATGAATAGTTAAAAATAGCTAAGCAATAAAAAAATGCAGCATTATCAGTCAAAGATGTATTAAAACACTCACGGAATGTGTTCGGAGAAAAAAAACAACCTCATATGAAACACTTTTAACTCACCTGTAATCAACGAGATGGCTGACTCCAACAAGGCCACAAGAACTGCCTATGTTGACAATGTGCCCATGATTGTTCTCCAGCATGGAAGGCAAAAACTGTTTTGTGGTCTGAAAAATACAAATCCTATGATGTCTTTGTTCTCATCCAGCGTTCAGACAGAAAAATGGAGACGACAATTAAATTAGGGTCAAAACAAAAACACCATCCATGCAACAATGCAACAAATCCAAACAGGCACTGTTTACATACACACAACAACAACAACATATAAATTTGAATGGTACTTGTCTGACGCTTCTTCTTCTTCTCTTCCACCTTTTACCTCATCGAAGTGTCGGGGGAGATGTAATGTTCGTTGATGAGCTCTGTCAAGAGCACTATTAGGACTGATGTTAATTTCTGTAAGGCTGTTCTTAATGCCATCACTCCATCTTTTCCGAGGTCTTCCACTCGCTCTATACCCGTTTTAATGTTTCAGTGTGGCTTGCTGGGGCAGATAGTACCAGGGCATTCTTGTTAGGTGTCCAAACCACTTCATTTGTTGTTCTTTTATGACCTGTAAGAGTAGCTTTATTTCTAGCATTCGTCTGATTTCATGACTTGTCTGAAGCAAGTTATAGAATTTAAATCTAGGAATTATATTCTCAGAAGACGGAAGAATAGACTGGGAAATAAAAACAAGATGCCAATGAGCCAATGCACTTATTTACCAACTGACACCGCTACTAAGATATCCACACATAAGTATGAGTGCTAAGAAACAGATTATAAACAGCATATTCATACCAACTATGTGCTACCAGTGCCAGACTTGGATATTATAAAAGGCTAATCTACGTAAAATTAACACCTGTGAAATGAGATGCCTGTTTAAAGCCACCAACTTAACCATCCGAAACAAAGTTAGAAATGTTACCAAACTGTTGGAATAAAACCATGCAGCAAATTCACTGAGAAAAAATATCAAATGGTTTGGTCATCTAGTAAGAATGTGGCCAGAAAAGCTACTAATGCAGGCGCTACATACAAAAAGATCTGAAGTGAAAAGCAAGAGGCCATCCAAGGAAAATATGGATTGATGACACTAAAGAGCTTCTAGATCTACACGAAATGACAAAAGCCATTGCTGCCCATCAAGCAATGGAATACAAACTGTTCCTCCCCACTATGTATAATGGCACAAGTGGAAACTGATGATGATGATGATGACGACATAGCAAATTTCTGAAATAAGTGGCACAATTTGTAGGCACTGTTATGTGCACAGTAGAGAGAGACAACAATTGTAATGCAAACACAAATTTGTGACTATAACAAAAATCTACATACTCAGTCAAATACTTGTACACTTTCATGTAAATAAACAATGCATATAAATGTATTTATGTGTGTGTGTGTATATATATATATATATATATATAAATTATATTTGTACGATATTCATATATATATATATATATATATATATATATATGAATATCGTACAAATATAATTTTTCCCTACTGCAAAAAACACCATGGAGCATTACAGATGTATGATGCTAGTCCATTATATGAAGTGTATGTGACAAACAAAATGAAAAGAAGACTGAATGTGAATACAAATGTTCATATTCCTGCGACAGATGGGAATGATTCCATCTGCATATATTGTGATATGGTTCACAAAACACAGAGTTATGTGATAAACACCCAAAGTTCCCTGAGCGACTGATAGTCAAGATAAATGGCTTATTGTTAACAAAAGCATCGACAAAACAGTGGGCTAAAAACCTGCTACCTTTGTCAGTTTAAAGGGCACTGTCGGGCACAATGCTCAGGTTAAAAATACCTCAAAGAATATGGTAATGAAACAGTAATCAGAGTTCACTGAACATTCTAAAAGTGATTGCATGCTGTGTGATCGTATGCTACAGCAGGGTAAGCATATGACACCGCATAAGAGTAAAATTGGTAACATCCAGATTATCTGTCCGGTTACTGCAAACATAACCCAAGAACGAGGTAATGTGTTAACAAAAAGCACCTCTGATCATGGGGAAGCAGATAAACCACCAAAGATAATTGAAGTAGATAAACCCAAACAGAAAGTGGCTAATACAGATGGTGTGGAAAAAGAATGCAGCAAAGTAAAAGAGTGCCTACTAGAGAAGCCCTGTGAAAAAAAGTCCATCATATAGTCAAGTTATACTAACTGATGTGCTGAGGGCAGCATGTAACACTGCAGACCAGAGAAAGACTTATACGGGTGTCATAAATGGAAAACGAGGTTCTTTAGCAATATGGCATCAAGGAACATTTTCTCTTGTGAAGGAGTCAACTTATTGGGGTCAGACTACATGGGGAAAGTGTTACACTTGAAAGTAATTGGGGGAGCTATCAAGCTAAACTTGCAAGGGTCAAAGTTGACTCACCCTGCCTTTCTAAAACAATAAAGGCCATTACCCATTACCAACTGGAGATTTGATCATAGGAAAGAATGAAAACCCAAAAGAATGAACTTTAACAGACAGAATAGAAAGGGAAAATTCCTATTTTCTTCCTTGGCTGCTAGAACAGATCCAACCAAAAGTAAAGAAAAAATAAATGACAGTCATATAATTGCGTGTAACGTGGTTACAAGGCAACAAACAATAAGAGAGAATGATGTGAGAAAGCGAGAGAGAATGGATAATATTTTAAACCCTGTTCATTCTGATCAAACAAATGTAAAAGATGAGTTCAACTCAAAGCAGTGTCGTCAGTTGTACCATACAACAACCTATTCACAATTGTACTTAACAAAAGAGAAAAATGTTCCATGACAGCACATTATCTGTATATGACAGTATATAACTCTTTACAATAAGCCAGTCCATGTTTGTGGCGTTAGCATCTGTCGACGCACCTCTAAGCCCACACGTGGTGTGTGCCATAGCGTCTTTGGGTTGAGTTAGCGCTGTACGGGAGTGTGGTAGTGGCTCAGAGCTTATATCATGAACGTGAAAAGCTGCATCTAAGCGATTTTAAAGTTAGAAGCGGCCTGGTTTCAGAATAAGGAGCGCTACCCCTCCTGAGGTGTCGCCTTCTAGTTATTCACTTTCGATAATAAAGACTGTGTATGTGCTGCAACCAGTGTTTGGCTTGGGTGTGTTTGTCAGCAGTGTTTTTCTGTCATTAGCCTACAGCGTAGCCAATGGAGTCGAACCCTAGTCATTTAGGTTCTTGACAATACAAAAACTACTGTGGAAAAGCCTAAAAACTGCAGGTAGTCTGGAAACAGTTTACAGACAGTACAGCCAATACACATACTATTTTCAGAAAGTAAATTAAATGATGAAAGACAGTACAGAAATTGGCAGATGCCAGTATATACTCATGGCAGTACAAATAATGCAACTGTTTACTTTATTGTGGAATTCAAAGGATAAAATAATGTTGGTCCAAAAAAAAACAATAATGAATAAAGATTACACAAAACAGAACATACAGGTTATGCAGAATGTGACCTACTTAAGCCAACTGTCAGCAGGTATTAGGAACTAACACAGGAACGAACTATTTTTAAAGGGTCACAAATTGGGCACTTAGGCCATTTGTGAACTTGAGTAGGGTAGTGGGAGCAATGAACTGGAAGTCTCTTGTTAGCTAGATCAGAAATGACAAGAAAATGGAGGCATTTTGCCCAATTGGCTACAATGACAAAGTGATCAGGCACGAGGAAAAATTATGCCAAGAACAATCATCTCATAACTTTTTGTTGACAATTGTCTACAATAGTAAACAGAGGAGGTGTGTTTCTAACATGTTTTGTACTTTATGACAGTTCATTCAACACACAATGTCCGACAAACTAATTCATGTCTACAAATCATTCTCTCAGTTCCCAGTGTGGGTTCTGGAGCCCCATCTGGGGCGGGGGAGGGGAGAATGGACACCCCCGCCCCCTCCATCCCCCAACAAGCATGTCGTAAGAGGTAACTAATTAGGGATGTTTCCTTCTATGTCAAAGTGCAGCTGTCTGAGAGGCAAAGAACCAACAGTCTGCATAAAAACAAGTCAGACTGGTAAAATGGATGTGCATGCAAACTCAAAATTCTAGAACAAGGCCAAAGTCCAGAAATTGACAAACAATCAAAACTTTCCATTGGAGTTTATAACCAGTGAATGCTAAGAAGAAGAAGAAGACTCAGTAAAAAAATGACAAACTAAATCAGAAGCTCCCTCCTTATCTCCTTCTCTCATTATTCACAGTGCCTTGGGATTTTACAAACAGCTTAAAAGTAATTTATGGCCACACAGTGTAACACTTATTTGTTCAACACAAAATGTTTAACTAGCTTGTGGAGATGTTTGGCTAATTTATTCAGAACAAAATGATTAATTCGCTGCCACATAATGTTGGACTTATTTGAACTGGAGGGAGCACTTATGAAGAAATTAACGTGTGATCTATGAGAAGGGTGGCAACCCAATTCTGGAACTTTGCTATGCAGACAACACATTCCACATTTGAACAGTGTAAAAGGAACAGAACATGTAATCATGTCTGTCCAAAAATATAGTGAAGATTAAAATCTGTTCCTAAACACACAGAAAACAAATAATAATGTCCATGGACAAAACTGTCTGTCATTCAAAAAAAAAGAAAGCAATACATGATGAAGAAATAAAAAATGTCTCAAACAGCAATAGAGACTGTTCAACAGAAGATAAAAAGGAGGGTGGCAATAGCAATGCAAAGATTAAACAGCATTAAAAGCTTACAGTTAAGCACCAGCAGGGAAATCAAAGTCAAAATTGTGAGAGCCTGCATTTTCTCTGAGGCAACATACGGATGTGAGTGATGGACTATCTCAGTCATTAAGGAAAAAAATAGTGGCTTCTGAGCTGAAATGCTTTGGAAAGATTCTTAGAATACTAAGAACTAAGAAGAAATGGAATACTGACACACTAAAAAAATATGAGAATCAAGGAAGATTGACTAGTAAAGAGCATCTGTCTCGGAAACTGAAATATTTTGGTTACATCAAGCATAACGGCAGATTGGAAAGAATAGTGGCAGAAGGAGGGTACCAGGAAAGAGGGACAAGAACTGACCAGCACAAACATGGGTACAAGGTATAAGAGACACCTTGGATACAAAAGTGAGGGAGAGTTGTAAGAGGCCAAGTTTCTTTCAAGTATGCTGTGATGACAGCAATATTCTGTACAGGACCGACTACAAGATGACAGGAAAGGAGGGGGATAGCAGCAAGCCTTTATAGAGATTAATGTAGGATCTATGAAAGGGGGAGACTGGAGGAAGTACTTATGGAAAAAATCCACGAGAAATAAGTGATCCTTTACCAAAACTAAAATAGTTTAGTATTTCCCATATTCCTAACCCAACCAGCCACCAAGGGAATTCACCTGCTCATTATACTTACCCATATGTGAGCCAGCAAGTTGACTCCAAATGTTCTCTCTATTTGTTCATCTTTCAGCTCTAGTAGTTTTTTGCCATACACCACCCCAGCATTGTTGACTAGTATAGTAACATCTCCCACCTCAGATTTCACAGCATCTCCAGTTTGCTTCACCTGTCTTCGGTCACTGTGATATATATGGTTCAATAATTCACATCAGGGCCAATAACAATAAAAATAGAGCTATCAGATATCAAATACAGGCATACCATAGACAAACATCATAAAATACATGAAAGACCTATCCTAGACTGACCAAGACTCCAAAAACAAGCCGAGACCACAAAGACAAGCCAAGACCACAAAGACAAGCCAAGACCACAAAGACAAACCAAAACCACAAAGACAAGCCAAGACCACAAAGACAAGCCAAAATCACAGAGATAAATTATGACCCCACAGACAAACCAATATTACAAAGACAAACTAAGACCATACAGGCAAGACAGGACAACACAGACAAGCCAATATCACACAGACAAGCCAAGACCACAAAGACAAAACCAAGACCACAAAGACAAACCAAAACCACAAAGACAAGCCAAGACCACACAGACAAGCCAAGATCATAAAGATAAACAATAACCACACAGACAAGCTAAGATCATAAAGATAAACAATAATCACACAGACAAGCCAAGATCATACAGATAAACAATAATCACAGAGACAAGCCAAGATCATACAGATAAACAATAACCACACAGACAAGCCAAGATCATACAGATAAACCATGACCACAGAGACAAGCAAAGATCATACAGATAAACCATGACCACAGAGACAAGCAAAGATCATACAGATAAACCATGACCACAGAGACAAGCAAAGATCATACAGATAAACCATGACCACAGAGACAAGAAAAGACCATACAGATGAACCATACCCACAGAGACAAACCAAAACCACACAGATTGGCCAAGATCATAAAGAAAAACCATAACCACACAGATCAGCCAAGATCATACAGAAAAACAATGTCACAGAGACAAGCCAAAACCACAGAGACAAGCCAAGACCACACAGACAAGCCAAGATCATACAGATAAACAATAACCACACAGACAAGTGAGACCATACAGATAAACCATGACCACAGAGACAAGCAAGGCCATACATACAAACCATGACCACAGAGACAAACCCCAACCACACAGACAAGCTATGAACATACAGAAAAACCATAACCACAGAGACAAACCAAAACCACACAGATCAGCCATGATCATACAGAAAAACAATGCCACAGAGACAAGCAAGATCATACAGATAAACCATGACCACAGAGACAAGCAAAGACCACACAGATAAACCATAACCACGGAGACAAGCCAAGATCATACAGATAATAACTACACAGACAAGCAAGACCATTCAGATAAACCATGACCAAGAGACAAGCAAGACCATACAGATAAACCATGACCACAGAGACAAACCTAAACCAAAAAGACAAGCCAAGACCACATTGTCAAGCCAAGACCATACAGACAAATCAATATAACTGTCACGTAGCCAGCAAAACACCCCTATGCTAGTGGTCCAGTCCTTACACTGTAATCCTCCATGCTAATTACTTATATTTAAAAATGGACTATTCTACCATAAGTAAATAGTCCTTCTTTAAAAGGTATGGATCAGGATATAGGAGACTGAGCTTTATCACATCCTAAATCTATTGGGAGTGAGTTATATTGTAATTTCATTCACAAAGTGATTATCATGAGCAGCAAAGCCATTTTCCATGGCCTTATTTGGCGGAAGGAATCTTACCACTTCTGGCTCGGAAACATTTTTAATATTGGCATCATTCTTGAGGTATCTTCAGAAGCCAGCAGAGAGTGTTAAGTATTCTCTGTCAACTGTCATATATTTGTATTGAAATATACTCCATTCACCAGGGAATTTCATGAGAGTATGGGTAAGTTTTTACTTTAATTTGCTTATGTTGAGTCAAATCTTCCCTATGCATCGCCAAGGCTTGTGCAGGTATGAGGATATGTCGATTCCAGGCAGTCATTGGACTCAAAGTATAGAAGCAATACCGGTGGAAAGGTACACCATTATACTGATAAAAGATGTCCCCTTATATTCAGTAATAGACCGTTACTATACCTCTGGATTAATGTAACGTTTTTAAATGAATATCCCATACCTAACTGTTGTGCGGAAATATGAATGTAGTGGGGAGCACTCAGATCTGTCAGTGACCTAGAAAGATTGTTTTGCGGCTAATTCCGTTTCCGGTTTTTGATCAATCAGAAATGCAAATACTTCTAGACTGTCGGTTTGAAAATGGTAAATAAATATATAGACTGTGGGGGAACATTATATGTTATCTTTTATTTTCTCCCTATCCTTTGGATATTTTCTCTAGGTCGGTGAGTTGGGAAGCTACGTCAGGATCATAACCTAACAGATCCTATGGGGTTCCGCCATAACCCAACCACCAGCTACTAGCTACCAACTTCCACCATTCAGGTACATGTTTTTACCTAGTCCCAGTCACCTGGGCAATACCTTGAGAAGTGACATGTGGTGTCACAAAAGCTAGATGACAGCAGATGCTACAGCATCATGAAGAGCTGCACCCCCCCCCCCCCCCCCCTCCCTTTCTAGAGTCTATCCCCTGCACTATCAGCCAAAGCCTGAACTGTTACCCGAACTGTTTATTTGAACTGTTATGAGTTAGATTATTTTCACAGCACTCCAGACATATCCATAGGCGCTCAGATTCCCTTCTCAACATATACATCAGCATCGTGCGGTTAATAGTGCCAGTCCTATGTTGGATAACAAGACTTTGTTTGTGTCCGGTGTGCTTCTCATGCTTGGCTGTGCCGACCTTAACTCCCAATTCTTGTATTCTTAGCAGTGATGTGGACATGTTGCTTCCAAAATCCTCAGAACGTCAATTTCTCTAAGGGTAATGACAAATCTGAACTGTTAATGGTGAATTTCTACACATCGACTAAGGAGAGGAGCTAATTAGCTATTTTCAACACCTGCCGTTAAGTATACTGTGTGAAACTGGAAGTACAGCCACCAGGACACTTGGTGCCAATAGCTTGCCATTACCCTATAACATCATTGGTGCTGTGATGAGCCCAAACAGTGACTTTTGACAGTCCAGGAGTCATTCTTGACTAAATGAGACATTATTTGAGCCATACTCTTCTATATGTCCTTGTTCGATATCAGTCCATTAAGATTGCTTATATTGTTTGAAACTTATTACATTGTCATCTTGAAACCAATCTTGTTGGTGTCAGTTATTTCACAGTTCAATTTAGTTAGGTCTTTGTATGTATTGCTATTCAATCAGAGTTCTTTTGTACTGTTTTTGACTGTGGTAGTGATTCTATCCAGTCTGGAGGCAATCAAGTGGTGAGGAAGTCTGGCCCAAGTTGTGTCCATGAATATCTGTGGAAATTCTGTGGTGCCAAGTACTCAAGTTACTTCATTCCTTTAGTGGTGTTGGATTTTTTTTTTGTAGCTGCAGAGTACTGCCTATGCCAATACGAGCTGCCATCGTAACACCATACTATTTCAGAGTGTCTTAATTATTGGTGACCCTAATTTAGACACGAGACAAAACCGTCTTGTGACAATCACCGCGACAAAGCGAAACCATATAGATAAACCAACACATAACAACACAAGAAGTGATGACAGTTTCACTCACCTAACATCACATATGTAAGTAAAGCACTGTCCGCCAACATCACTGATGAGCTTTGCAGTTTCCTGTAGTCGTTTCTCGTTAATGTCCCACAAAACCGTTACAGCTCCCAGACTGGCAAATTCAACAGCAATTCCCTGCCCTACTCCACTACCTGCTCCAGTTATCAGTACAATTTCTCCTCTCACACATTTGGGAGTTTCAGGAATGAAGAACTGAACCCATGACACAAAAAATGCAAGCAGCACATTTTTAACTACCAAAAACAGGTCCAGCAGCGCATTCATGATTGGATCTGTAATGAGAAAACAAAATCTGAAGAAATATTTAGCCAACATGTCACTGACGTCAGTGGTGTCACCAAATCAACATTTTTCTGAAAGATATAAAACCAAATGAAAAGTAAATCAGCGAGCTTCACAATATGACAAACACAAATGGAAAGTAAACGTTGGGGCTATGTAGCCTTCATCAGCACATGATTTAATATAAACAAAACCACACAAATATACAAAAATCACTTAATTGACATATCCCAAAGCAGCTACACTGATGTCTTGCCAGTGGAATAGCACAATTTTACTGAGTACATTACAGATCTCATTGAAAATGAGAATTGTCACATAGTACGTATATTCAACTGTACTGTTCGGTGCAGAAACTAGAGAGGATAAAAACTGAATAGAGTCTTTGAAGATGTGGATACTTCGAAAAAATAGGTTGTATTTCATGGAAACAAAAACAATCAAATGCAGAGGTTCCAAAAAGATTGGGAATAAAAGAGTTGCTGAAAGAAATAATAAAAGAGAGAACTGAGATATTTTGGTCACATTAAAATACATAACTTTTAAAAATCATACTGGAGAGAAAAGCTGCAGGATCAGCAAGAGACAGACAATGATGTAAGTGGGAGGACAACATCAAAAGACTGATGACAGCAGTCAGGGAGTGTACTATCAAGACAAGACAAGATGTTGGAGATCCATTGAAGACAACCTTCACTTTGGAGATGGCACCGGACTGACTGGACAATCAGTCAACGGTCAGCTAGTACACACTACCAGTGGTGGCGAAGCATTTTTTCTAGCTTTTGCATACAGTGTACTTAAACAAAGGAATATATATTACACCTCGCTGGTGTAACCGTATCCTAATTATAACTTTTGCCTTAAGGGTCTGCTGTCCAAAATTAGATTTTTTAAATATTAGAACTATATGGTGAACCTTTATGAAGCATCCAGTATGGGGAAAATTTGATCAATCTAAGAATTTTCCTTTATAGACGGTATTCTAGAAAGCTCATTAAGATGTCTAAGTATCACTTGTGTGTCCTAATTGTTTTATTGAATAGTTTACTTACAGGTTTTTTTCCTACAGATGTGTGTAACAGTCCAGCTCATTTTAAGATCGGTGTGTGAGATGGTTTATGTGAAGAGAATGCCCTAGTCCTAAATGCTGCAGAGAGGGTGACGAAATTTGAGGGAAAGTCAATAAGCAAGTCACAAATGGTTGTTTTAAAAAAAAAACATACAGACAATAACGTGAAAACTGTTTATTTTTACACATACACTGTCCCTTTATTTTTCAACATAATTTCTACCAACACTGATGCACTTGTCCTATCGTTTTATCAGTTCTCCCAAACCTGCTGCATTAAAGTGTGCTCTATTTCCCAAACCACATTTTCACTTCACATCCAACTTCTGCGTCATTTGCGAAATGTCTCCCGCCAAGGCAGGCTTTCAGTGGACCAAAAATTTCAATCAATCATGCATTATATTGTATGCTGAACCATGTGAGCACCCTATTGCAGCTGCTATAGGGTTAACCATTACTTGCCTGTTATCTCTATCTCCACACACTGCATGGATGTGTCTCTTGTAAGCTCAATAGTACAACCAAATAAAATGTCATCAACAATTTTAGAGCGCCCTTAGTAAAAAATTTTACCCTGCTATGCACCGCTTTGCAGGATAAACATTTGTCAGCATAAACGGAAAGCATTTTTTTAATGAATATCCTCCTTTGCAGGCAGCCCTTTTGCCCAAAAAACCTCATAACAGCACATTGTTCTTTGAGGGTACGCTCCATAAGTACAGCTGCCATTTTGTTTCTGTGTTGAGAATGTGCATGCAACACCTATAGCCACATAACGAACGGAGACATAAAGTTTGATGTTGCTGTTACCTAATGACACCTTTAGAAACCACCAACTACATTTTCCTGCCATCCCATAACCATTTGTGACTTATTTATTGACTTCCCCTCGTATAATGAACACAGAGCAAGGGGAAGACCCAGCAATATATGAAACAATGGCATTAACAGCCTTAAAGAAATGAACAGCAACTTTATAAAGTGCATAGAGCACACATGATCTTTTACATTAACCACCCCCCCAACACCAACTTCACTGAGGTAAATGAAAAAAAAAAAAAAGAGTAGTAGGATTAGGTTTTAAATAAAGAAAGTGTAGCAAGACAGTAAACTAAGGTATAGAATCATCACTCTACAACTTTCTACTCACAGCCAGTAATATAGAGCACTTTATGATAGCTGACTTCTGAAAACATTCTTAACAGCAAATCTTGAAACGCAATCAATGGTTGACCATAAGGGGGACAATCCATTGTGATGTTCACGTAATGAGAATATTCTTTCACATTTAATATTGTTTGAGATTAGGGTTAGGGTAAGGGTTTTGTTTAGGGTTAGTGCTTGGGTTAGGTTAGCCCTAACTCAAACAATATTAAATGTGAAAGAATGTTAGTGTTACGTGAACTTACTCAAACAATGAATTACGTCCCCTATAGATGGCACTTACATTAATGTTAACTTACAATAGACTGCATCCTCTAGGGTCGCTGTTGCAAGGATTGCCCTCTTGGCTCTTTCAGTCCCAAAGAACGCACCATGTGCTAATCGGTTACTACCCAGCCGCCCAATCAGTGAGTGACGTATACTGGTTTTTAATTTATCTCTGGCCAGTATAAAAACACTAACTGGCAGTTTTGAATGGTGTTTCCTGTTTTTTTTTTATTCAATGTCACACGTGCTTGTGAGCTTTACTGAGTTTGTGTCTGTGGCCTCCGAGCACACTTCTTCATGCATGCCAACAAGATTTATGACTTTACAAGCCCCTTTTTTAAATAAAACATGTGTTTATCAGATTTATCGGTTCTCCTTAAAACTACGGCCACTTATGGAGTACGCCGGAGTTCAGTCCCCTGGCCGCATTGCAATTACGGAGTGGAAAAGAGGGAACGAAACAAATGACGTAATTACTGTGTGTTGGCAATAGACAACGTGAACCGATGACGTAATTGCTGTGTGTTGGCGATAGATTTACTGCTGTCATAATAAGGTTAGGGTTAGGGTTTGGGTTAGGGTATTGGTACTCCTTAAAACTACGGCCACTCCTAACCCTACCCCTAACCTAACCCAAACCCTAACCCTATTATGACAGCAGTGCATCTATCGCCAACACACAGTAAATACGTCATTTGTTTCGTTCCCTCTTTTCCACTTCGTAATTGCAATGCGGCCAGGAGACTGAACTCCGGCGAACTCCATAATAAGTGGCCCTAGTTTTAAGGAGAACCGATTTATCCAAAGCTAGACAAACAAAGAAAGCTACAAACAGACTTGCTTCAGTCATTGACAGTCAAACTTTGATGAGGGATAGTTCTGAAATATACCTCATGCAAAGTGTACAATGATAAAGTCAGCTGGTACAAAAAGAATAAATAGTGAAAAAGGCAATATTCTTCAGTGTCAGGTCTAGTGTGATTCCCTCATTATTTGGGAAGATAAAACATTTTGGGCATATTGAATGTTATATATAAAGTTCGTTTTTGTGTGTGTGTGAAAATAATTTTTTCAGAAGTCATTTTTCTTTATAAAAATGGTGTTCTGTTTTGATGTTCTAAAAGTATATCTGGATCAAATATCTAATGGACAGATTGTGTTTATATTTTATTTATACATGACTAAGTGGTTCATGTTCATTTCTGATTCATTCTGGATATATTTTATTGAGCTTTCCTTGAGTGGTGAGTGGAAAAATTCTTTCATGTTACTTATTTCTTTAAACATACCATATCATCTGTTTATTTACTAATAATTAACTCTTCGAGTCCCAAGGAACGCATCATACATTCATAGGCTCGTACCTAGAAGCCCAATGAACGCATGATGCGCCAATTTTATTACTTTCTTTACTACCCGCTGGGCCTGTGATGCTAAATTCCCTGGGACTCAAAGAGTTAACTACTAACACAATTTTGTTTTTGGTAGCAGTATTCAAATTTTCCTCAATGATCCTTGGTCACTGTGATGTACAATATGTGTATGTTGCGCTGCAGTTGAATTAGTATGGTGTATTTTAATGTGTTTCAGAATTGCATTACCATCCCTTCGACCTCTCATGCTAAATCCCTGGAACTCAAAGAGTTCATTTCACTAATAACTATTTAAAATAAAAGAAACAGTAATAATGGTTCCTATCTTTCCCTTATATTATATACCTAAAGACAATGTTCCTTGTCCCCATTGTCCTAAATCCTTCAAGACCCATTTTGGGTTTGTAAGTCACCTCTGCACTCACAGACACTTGACTGCAGCTTCTTGGCAGATGACAGAAAGATTGGTAATAATCAGCAGCAATTGTGGCTAATGAACAACAGCTATAAACATACACACCTGTTGCTTGCAGGCAAGCGAACGGCCTTCAGTGACTTTCTTGCGTTGCCGATATCACTACAACAACTGTACGCTGAGAAACTAAGATGTCACTATATTACAACTCGTGCCTGTGAGGAAGATTCAAACTAACAACAGACTGCGGTACAGAGTGACCACGGACTAGCAATGGTCAGCTAGCACACTGTCCAGTGAAGCCTGAGTGGAATCAACTGAAAAACCACCAATTCTACTTGTAAGAATCTAATCTCAAACTACTGTACACAAGGTGGGCACCGACTAATTTAGTCAGTTAAGTGTGATTAACAAAACAAAAACAGTTGACGAACAACACAATAACAATCACCCCAGCAGAATCTCATCAAGTAGTGGAAGTACTACAGTACAGCGAGTTCAGAGTCTGGCATTTGGCAACGCCACGAACTATAGGTCAGTCAGCTAGCACGTCCAGTAAAGTAAAGAGTGAGTGAGTGAAGCCAGCAAAACAACCACTCTACCTGTGATTGTGAAAGCCTAACCGACTATCGGTCATCTAGCAGACTCCGCTCAGTGAAGTGGGAGAGAAGAACAATCCTCACAGTCACATCTGTCCGTGAGACCCATGGCTCACTGACTGTTATTGCAGATTTTGTCGGTAACATCACACGGTTTTTGTCGGCAGGTTGCCCGGCTCCGGAGTTTTGTTTAGTGACAAAATGGCGGCAACGAAGGTAAAGTAAAATAATTTTCTCTTCTTTGGAAGCTGGTTAATAAACATTTCAGTGTTTTTAATTGACTGTAGGCACTATGTAAATTTGCATCATGTGATAAAGTAGTATACGTTTCGACTTGTCTAGAAGGTAACTCTCACTTCCTCTGCATAATAATAATTTACACAACTTTAGTAGTTTAGTTTAGAAACGAAACGTAAATAAAATATGCGACTTCATCAACTTTTTATTTACTTTTACTTTCTGGAAAATCATTTTAAAAACTAGTCACCTAAATCAGTGGTCTAGTCTGCGGTTACATGGCAGTTTGCAATTTAGCAGTTTAAATCAGTAAATCGAGAAGAGAGTTCAGTGAGCTGTCATTAACCCTTTTAGCACGGGAAGTTTTTCAGAGGTCTAGCCAAAAACACGGAGCATTTTTTCAGTGAATTTTGTTATTACTTTATTTAATTTTTTTGACAGATTTCTGTTATTCTAACCCCTATGAAATAATATATCTATTTGAAGGATATAGATTGAAGTTCGTGATTTTCACAATATCGTTAAAATTAATTGATGTATATGCAAATTATCTCATTTGCATATCTAAAAATAGAAAATATGAATTTGAATTTTCAACTTCAATGCTTGAAACATAAAACTAAAAACAAAAAAATTTTTTATTTGAAATCTTTTTATTGATCTTTGGCCTTTTTACAAATGTTGTAAGCAATTCAATAGTCAAAAACATGTATATATATGTGAAACAGCAATAATATCTTCAGGTGACATGTGTTTTTCACCATCAGTCAGCACTATAAATGGATGTGCCGGAGTGTCAACACCTTCGGGTGGATATACCCTGAGCCATGGTTGGGCTGTGGTCTGAACACAACAGCGTCCCCATCTGATTCCCACTATAACTACTAACACTAAATCCTGCATCAGTATCAAAAGAATTAGTGTCAACACTTGATTCAAATGTTTTATCAACATCAAGTTTAGGGGCAGAAACATACGAGTCAGACATACTTTTAGCGGTTCAGGTCACTATCTAAAAAATTCAACAACAATTTTCACTTCGATACCAAACACTCGAAAGTCGCCATGTGTAAAGCTGATACCGCAGTTAATATAAATGAATCACTTTCAGTGTTTCAAAGTAGGAGATTTCTTAGCGGTTCGAGGCGAAACACGATCGGGCCGATCATCGGCCGTTCCGTGTTTTTGGCAAGACATCCGCCGGCCGATAATCGGCCCGTCCGTGCTAAGAGGGTTAAATAATTGCCCAGCAAACTTCAGTGTCTTCAGACTAGATACTTTAGTCAAATTTAAAATGCTCTCTACACCAATAAAACCAGCACAGTTAGATAGCTGTATACAATCTCTTTCCAACGGTACCTCATTTAGGCTTGTATGTCATTTCTGAACTGAGATATGTAGGTTTTTGTGGAGATGAGATGTAAAAAACAGCTGCTAAAACTTGTCTCCCAGAAATAAGAAGTTTTCTCTGCGCAACCAAACTGCGCACTTATCGTTTTGGCTTTGTTTGCATTGGACAAGATGGCAGACAATGACTTATGAGACTGGCTGAGCCAGCGATTGCCTGAAAAATGTCACTGTTTCCCTCTTTTTCACTCCGTAATTGCAATGCGGCCAGGGGACTGAACTCCGGCGTACTCCCCCGTGCGGCGCGGAGGGGAGCTAAACTAGATGGCTGGGACTCACAAGCAGCATCTACCGCATCTTATTCAGCTTCCTCCATTTTATTTGCTTGTGAGTCCCAGCCATCTAGTTTAGCTCCACTTCGCGTTGAGCGGTGTAAGTGCCCTGGAGATACTCTCTGCGGTTTGCAGTGTAGTCGCCAGAAGAGGTCTTCAATTTACATGTGACTGAGGCCCTGTAAGGGTATATATTCGGCCTCCATAATTTTGGGCCGTTATTCGGAGTATAGGCAAATATTATAATATTAAAGATGCTGACATTGTTATCAAAGCTATTATTTGTGATTCTCCTGTGTTTTAAACTGTGCATGTCATGGCCGTGTATGTAGACTAGATGTCCACATTCAGATGTTGAGGATGCTAACATAGTATGTATCACTTCTGTATGTGACCCTTCTGTTTTGGTGTTTGTGCTTATCCCAGCAGTGTGTGTGGACAAGATGCCCACATACAAGTGTTGAGGATGCCAACATAGTATGTATTTCTTCTGTGTGTGACCCCTCTGTTTTATGTTTGTGCATCATGTTCTAGCAGTGTACGAAGACTGTATGTGTGTGTGTGTGTGTAAATGCCCACAAACAAATGATGAAGATGAAGAGAGATGGGGGGATAAGTGATCTTGAGGCATGGCATCGGCCTAGAGTCCTGGAGGTCCCGGGTTCAGGCTACCCGCAAAGGCTGGGATTTTTTCACAGTAATTTTCCCTGGTCTCTGGATTGTAAGATGGCACACGCCCGTGTGTATTGTTGCGAATATTTTAAAAAAAATTCCCTGGCAGTTGGAAATTTAAAAAATATAGATGATGGTGCTGCAAAGGCAAAATTTGGAGTTAAAAATCTACCCAAAATTATTTGGGATCCTTTCCGTTGCTACGGAGCTCATGCACTGAGCTGAGATTCCTTGGACTCAGGCTTGAGTTAGAAGTAGAATGGAAAACTTATGGGTTACTACCCTTGTGCCGTGGTGTTAATCCATTGTATGAACCATAAATAAATTATGAAGATGCTAAAAGTGATGTCTTTTGCTTGTATTCAGGAAGCAATAGCAATCATTGTAGATGTAGGGCCATCAATGAATCAGGCACCTCCAGGTGCCGCTACAGCCCTTGAAACTTCCATAGAAGGTGTAAACATGATACTGCAAAGAAAGGTGAGTACATCTGTATGTTTGTGCATGTGTATATGTACACGCCTGTACGTGTGTGTGTGTGTGTGTGTGTGTTCCTGAACGTGTGTGTGTGTGTGTTCCTGAACGTGTGTGTGTGTGATTCTATTTGGCTGACTTATCGCTTTGGAAGAACAAAATGCAAAATGTGTCAGTTAGTAGCCTCGTCATATTGTCTACTTGCCTGGCTGTCATCCTCATGTTGGAAGGATCTAAATACAGAAACTGTTGAGGTGATAGTCATGTGTCATTATGTATTATAGGTTGACTTTAACAAATCTGGCCATTGATAGTCTGGTTTCTTCAGATTTCCAGCATAGATTTTGGAGCTCTTTTTCAGTTTTACTGCATTCACACACCACTGTTTTCTCGAGGAACTTGTGTGTGTGTGTGTGTGTGTGGCACTGTACTGCAGAACTAGCTGGGAGGCATTCTTACATATTCCTTCTTATTTGATTATGTTTTTATTGTTATTTTATTGGTTGTTGTTGCTTATAGCTCCATTATGAATTTAACACAAAAAAAACAAAAAAGGTGGTATAAAATGTAAACACTGTGCCTTGTCAATCGCAGAGAAAATGGAAATGCTAAATATATACAACATGTATAGTCTGGAATTTTTCACAAATCCAGCACTCCTCAGATCCAGGGGTTGCTGGATTGTTTAATGTCAGCCTGTAAATGATTGTGATGGCCAGTGTCTAGCTTGTTATCTCTTTATACTGTTCACTGACAGATGTTCTCAGAGTCAAAGGATGAAGTTGCACTGATACTAATGGGGTCAGCAGAGACAGATAACCCTTTAGATGATGGCCAATGTTACCAGAACATTCTCATCAAACGAGCTCTGGGTGTTGCAGATTTTCAACTTTTGCAGATGGTGCAGACCGAACTACAGCCGAGTAACACACCAGGTGACTGTATCCTTGATGACCTGATATATCAGGGAGACTTATGACAGTACCTGGTCTTCTGGGCCATTTAGTCTCGACTACATCCATGTCCACAGGGCATCCATTTTTTTAAAACATCCGTATCTTCAATACAACATGCTGTAACGCTAGACGTAGGATAGTGTCAGAGAAGCATTACAGCTGACCTACATGTTAAAACAATAGATGTAGGATAGTGTAAGAGAAGCATTTCAGCTGACCTACATGTTAAAACAGTAGATGTAGGATAGTGTCAGAGAAGCATTACAGCTGACTTACATGTTTTAACAATAGACGTAGGATAGTGTAAGCGAAGCATTACAGCTTACCTACATGTTAAAACAGTAGATGTAGGATAGTGTTAGAGAAGCATTACAGCTGACCAATATATTAAAACAGTAGATGTAGGGTAGTGTCAGAAAAGCATTACAGCTGACCTACATGTTAAAACAGTAGATGTAGGATAGTGTTAGAGACACATTACAGCCAGCCTGCATGATATAACAGTAGATGTAGGATAGAAGATGTTAAAGACACATTACAGCCAGTCTGCAAGATATAACAGTAGATGTAGTATCTAAGATGTTAAAGACACATTACAGCCAGCCTGCATGATATAACAGTAGATGTAGGATAGTGTTAGAGACACATTACAGCCAGCCTGCATGATATAACAGTAGATGTAGGATAGTGTTTAGACACATTACAGCCAGCCTGCATGATATAACAGTAGATGTAGGATAGTGTTAGAGACACATTACAGCCAGCCTGCATGATATAACAGTAGATGTAGGATAGTGTTTAGACACATTACAGCCAGCCTGCATGATATAGCAGTAGATGTAGGATAGTGTTAGAGATACATTACAGCCAGCCTGCATGATGTAACAGAAGTTGTAGGATAGTGTTAGAGACACATTACAGCCAGCCTGCATGATATAACAGTAGATGTAGGATAGTGTTAGAGACACATTACAGCCAGCCTGCATGATATAACAGTAGATGTAGGATAGTGTCAGAGACACATTACAGCCAGCCTGCATGATATAACAGTAGATGTAGGATAGTGTTAGAGACACATTACATCCAGCCTGCATGATATAACAGTAGATGTAGGATAGTGTTAAAGACAAATTACAGCCAGCCTGCATGATATAACAGTAGATGTAGGATAGTGTTAGAGACACATTACAGCCAGCCTACATGATATAACAGTAGATGTAGGATAGTGTTAGAGACACATTACAGCCAGCCTGCATGATATAACAGTAAATGTAGGATAGTGTTAGAGACACATTACAGCCAGCCTGCATGATATAACAGTAGATGTAGGATAGTGTTAAAGACACATTACAGCCAGCCTGCATGATATAACAGTAGGTGTAGGATAGTGTTAAAGGTACATTACAGCCAGCCTGCATAATATAACAGTAGATGTTGTAGGATAGTGTTAAAGACAAATTACAGCCAGCCTGCATGATATAACAGTAGATGTAGGATAGTGTTTGAGACACGTTACAGCCAGCCTGCATGTTTTAACAGTAGATGTAGGATAGTGTTAAAGACAAATTACAGCCAGCCTGCATGATATAACAGTAGATGTAGGATAGTGTTAAAGATACATTACAGCCAGCCTACATGATATAACAGTAGATGTAAGATAGTGTTAAAGATACATTACAGCCAGCCTGCATGATATAATAGTAGATGTAGGATAGTTTTAGAGACACATTACAGCCAGCCTGCATGATATAACAGTAGATGTAGGATAGTGTTAAAGATACATTACAGCCAGCCTGCATAATATAACAGTAGATGTAGGAAAGTGTTAAAGACAAATTACAGCCAGCCTGCATGATATAAAAGTAGATGTAGGATAGTGTTAGAGACACGTTACAGCCAGCCTGCATGTTTTAACAGTAGATGTAGGATAGTGTTAAAGACAAATTACAGCCAGCCTGCATGATATAACAGTAGATGTAGGATAGTGTTAGAGACACGTTACAGCCAGCCTGCATGTTTTAACAGTAGATGTAGGATAGTGTTAAAGACAAATTACAGCCAGCCTGCATGATATAACAGTAGATGTAGGATAGAAGATGTTAAAGACACATTACAGCCAGCCTGCATGTTTTAACAGTAGATGTAGGATAGTGTTAAAGACAAATTACAGCCAGCCTGCATGATATAACAGTAGATGTAGGATAGTGTTAAAGACAAATTACAGCCAGCCTGCATGATATAACAGTAGATGTAGGATAGTGTTAAAGACAAATTACAGCCAGCCTGCATGATATAACAGTAGATGTAGGATAGTGTTAGAGACACATTACAGCCAGCCTACATGATATAACAGTAGATTTAGGATAGTGTCAGAGACACATTACAGCCAGCCTGCATGATATAACTGTAGATGTAGGATTGTGTTAAAGACACATTACAGCCAGCCTGCATGATATAACAGTAGATGTAGGATAGTGTTAAAGACACATTACAGCCAGCCTGCATGATATAACAGTAGATGTAGGATAGTGTTAAAGACACATTACAGCCAGCCTGCATGATATAACAGTAGATGTAGGATAGTGTTAAAGACACATTACAGCCAGCCTGCATGATATAACAGTAGATGTAGGAAAGTGTTAGAGACACATTACAGCCAGCCTGCATGATATAACAGTAGATGTAGGGTAGTGTTAAAGACACATTACAGCCAGCCTGCATGATATAACAGTAGATGTAGGGTAGTGTTAAAGACACATTACAGCCAGCCTGCATGATGTAACAGTAGATGTAGGATAGTGTTAAAGACACATTACAGCCAGCCTGCATGATATAACAGTAGATGTAGGGTAGTGTTAAAGACACATTACAGCCAGCCTGCATGATATAACAGTAGATGTAGGAAAGTGTTAGAGACACATTACAGCCAGCCTGCATGATATAACAGTAGATGTAGGGTAGTGTCAGAGACACATTACAGCCAGCCTGCATGATATAACTGTAGATGTAGGATTGTGTTAAAGACACATTACAGCCAGCCTGCATGATATAACAGTAGATGTAGGATAGTGTTAAAGACACATTACAGCCAGCCTGCATGATATAACAGTAGATGTAGGATAGTGTTAAAGACACATTACAGCCAGCCTGCATGATATAACAGTAGATGTAGGATAGTGTTAAAGACACATTACAGCCAGCCTGCATGATATAACAGTAGATGTAGGAAAGTGTTAAAGACACATTACAGCCAGCCTGCATGATATAACAGTAGATGTAGGGTAGTGTTAAAGACACATTACAGCCAGCCTGCATGATATAACAGTAGATGTAGGGTAGTGTTAAAGACACATTACAGCCAGCCTGCATGATGTAACAGTAGATGTAGGATAGTGTTAAAGACACATTACAGCCAGCCTGCATGATATAACAGTAGATGTAGGGTAGTGTTAAAGACACATTACAGCCAGCCTGCATGATATAACAGTAGATGTAGGAAAGTGTTAGAGACACATTACAGCCAGCCTGCATGATATAACAGTAGATGTAGGATAGTGTTAAAGACACATTACAGCCAGCCTGCATGATATAACAGTAGATGTAGGATAGTGTTAGAGATACATTACAGCCAGCCTGCATGATATAACAGTAGATGTAGGATAGTGTTAAAGACACATTACAGCCAGCCTGCATGATATAACAGTAGATGTAGGATAGTGTTAGAGACACATTACAGCCAGCCTGCATGATATAACAGTAGATGTAGGGTAGTGTTAAAGACACATTACAGCCAGCCTGCATGATATAACAGTAGATGTAGGGTAGTGTTAAAGACACATTACAGCCAGCCTGCATGATATAACAGTAGATGTAGGATAGAAGATGTTAGAGACCCATTACAGCCAGCCTACAGGCTATAGTAGTAACAGTAGGTATAAGATAGAAAGTGTTAGAGTAGTTTCTGCTTTCCTTGACCAAAAGTCATCAGTCCTGGATGCCATCATTGTGGCCATTGATCATCTAGAGAATGCCTTGCAGTAAGTCTTCATGTTTGGTAATTGTTTTATAATTGACGAGATGTAATGTCCAGCATTGCCCAGCATGGGTAATGAAAATGGCATTTTCCATTCCTCTGATTCTTTCTCTCAACCCCTGCCTTGTGTTTATCATTCCACCTGAGGTGGCCACCGCCATCTTGAGTGGTATTTGTAAATCACTTCATGAACTTACTAGTCACAACTAGCAGTGGGATCTATCTAGGTGTGATATATATTTTTTTATAAATTTAAGAGACCATCTGTATGTATCAGTTAGCTAGCTATATGCTTTAGTTATCTGTTTTATTTAGCTAGCTATAGGCTTTAGTTAGCTATATGCATGTTTTATTCAACTATCTAAATACTGGCGGAGCGGCTGGCCAAATGTTTACAACTTTCGGCTCTCATGCGGGAGACCTATGTTTGACCTCCCGGTAAGGTTATGGAATTTTTTCTGTTAGGGGCAAAAATATACATCTTATCCTGCACAGTCTGTGGCAACAGCACTAGCCATGCTACCCTAAATCCTCAGGCTCACCACTTCCCTGTCTGCATCGCCCTAAAAATTGGTAAATACAGATAGTAGTGACAGTTTTATTTTACAGTTTCAGTTGTATTGAAATGCTGAGATAGCTATTTATATAAGATGATTGAAGTTCCAACTTCACCCCATTGTTGCTCTGTTACAGTGACAATGAAAACCACACAGAATGTCTATTACTGTCCCTTGTTTTTAAAAAAATGACATTGACTGCAGTCTTAGCAGAGCTAGTACTATACACATGCATTAAATGCATAAGGCAGCCATCAGAAGTGCTGACACAAATAGTCTGGCACTAGAAATGCAGTTCATTGTTGATGGAAGCAACAGTTACAACAGATTAGTAGTTGCACCTGCTATTAGTAAATCGTGACCGGTTTTCAGGCAACAGGCTGCTGGCCATTTTTTAAATCCGCAGTTCACAACACAAACCATGTTAGGCAATGGAAATCAGCAGCATGTGCACTTAGCTCAGTAGCTGGGTGACAAAACTATATCATTTCAGTCTACATAGGGAGAAAAATGCATTGATTAACATTTAATATTGTCAGAAGCAAAAACTTGCCGTGACTAAAAACAGTAATCTTGCCTATCCATCGTATTGACTGGAAATTGTCTCAGCTAGTTGTATGTTTTACTTAGCTATCTGAATACAATATTAGCTGTCTGTATACTGTAGATAGACAACTGGCTGTTTTAGTTAGCCAACAGTTCGTCCATCACAAGTGATGAAGACCACTTTTCATCCAAAGTAGCACTGATCAATGATTATGAGAATTGGATGAAAGTGACTTGCGCAAGGACTTGGATTTGGAGGAAGAGTTGCGCAGTTCATTGAGCTCACTCTCTCGCCTGTGTCCATCTTGATCCAATGGCAGGACAATGTCAAGAGGATTGTAAATGGACCTAGGTGATTGTAAATGGACCTAGGTGCAGTGGATGACCAAGACGTCTTGCGGGCCCTGCCTTGCTCGAAGCTCTCCACAGAGCCTGCTGGTAATAACTTTCTTGTCCGTTGAACTATAAGAGGTTTCCTCCGTATAATCCGCCGAGTCCAGTCTTTGCATGCAGGTTAGGCATATCTAGCCAGCAGTACAATTTATATGTTGGCTAAATGATTTGGTTAGCTTGCTGTAGGTAATTTTTGAATCTCATCAATCAAATTGTGTGTCGCAGAGGGAAAAAGGGCTTCAAGTCGAGAAGAGTGATTCTCTTTTCTGACCTTGGTGGACCTTTTGGTGACCAGGAGCTGGAGAAGATTATTGCAGTTCTGCAGAACACAAATACGGAACTGAATGTGATGTGAGTTATTGTTTTTTGTCTGTTGTATCATGCTTACTTTATGTGTCCGGTATTATTTAGTTGTTATGTCCGTCTCTATATCAACAAGCTGTTGTGTCAGTCCTTAAATCAACAAACTGTTCTACCTGTCCCTATATCAAGCTGTTCTGTCAGTCCCTATATCATCAAGCTGTTCTGTCAGTCCCTATATCATCAAGCTGGTCTGTCAGTACCTGTAACAAGCTGTTCTGTCAGTCCCTATATCAAGCTATTCTGTCAGTCCCTACATCATCAAGTTGTTCTGTCAGTCCCTATATCAACAATCTCTTCTGTGTCCTTATATCAACAATCTGTTCTGTCAGTCCCTATATCATCAAGCTGTTCTGTCAGTCCCTATATCATCAAGCTCTTCAGTCAGTCCCTATATCATCAAGCTGTTCTGTCAGTCCCTATATCATCAAGCTGTTCTGTCAGCCCCTTTATCAACAAGCTATTATGTCAGTCCATATTTCATCAAGCTCTTCTGTCAGTCCCTATATCATCATTCTGTTCTGTCAGTCCCTATATAAACAATCTCTTCTGTCAGTCCCTATATCAACAAGCTCTTCTGTCAGTCCATATATCAACAAGCTGTTGTGTCAGTCCCTATATCAAGCTGTTCTATCAGTCCCTATATCATCAAGCTCTTCTGTCAGTCCCTATATCAACAAGCTGTTCTATCAGTCCCTAAATCATCAAACTGTTTTTGTCAGTCCCTATATCATCAAGCTGTTCTGTCAGTCCCTATATCATCAAGCTGTTCTGTCAGTCCCTTTATCAACAAGCTATTATGTCAATCCCTATATCATCAAGCTCTTCTGTCAGTCCCTATATCATCAAGCTGTTCTGTCAGTCCCTATATCATCAAGCTCTTCTGTCAGTCCCTATATCATCAAGCTCTTCTGTCAGTCCCTATATCATCAAGCTGTTCTGTCAGTCCCTATATCATCAAGCTCTTCTGTCAGTCCCTATATCATCAAGCTCTTCTGTCAGTCCCTATATCATCAAGCTGTTCTGTCAGTCCCTATATCATCAAGCTGTTCTGTCAGTCCCTATATCGTCAAGCTGTTCTGTCAGTCCCTTTATCAGCAAGCTCTTCTGTCAGTCCCTATATCATCATTCTGTTCTGTCAGTCCCTATATCAACAATCTCTTCTGTCAGTCCATATATCAACAAGCTCTTCTGTCAGTCCATACATCATCAAGCTCTTCTGTCAGTCCATATATCAACAATCTCTTCTCTCAGTTCCTATATCAACAAGCTCTTCTGTCAGTCCATATATCAACAAGCTCTTCTGTCAGTCCATATATCAATAAGCTGTTCTATCAGTCCCTAAATCATCAAACTGTTTTGTCAGTCCATATATCAACAAGCTCTTCTGTCAGTCCCTATATCAAGCTGTTCTGTCAGTCTCTATATCATCAGGCTGTTCTGTCAGTCCCTATATCATCAAGCTCTTCTGTCAGTCCCTATATCATCAAGCTCTTCTGTCAGTCCCTATATCATCAAGCTGTTCTGTCAGTCCCTATTTCATCATTCTGATCTGTCAGTCCCTATATCATCAAGCTCTTCTGTCAGTCTCTATATCATCAAGCTCTTCTGTCAGTCCCTATATCATCAAGCTCTTCTGTCAGTCCCTATATCATCAGGCTCTTCAGTCAGTCCCTATATCAAGCTGTTCTGTCAGTCCCTATATCATCAGGCTGTTCTGTCAGTCCCTATATCATCAAGCTCTTCTGTCAGTCCCTATATCATCAGGCTCTCAGTCAGTCCCTATATCAAGCTCTTCTGTCAGTCCCTATATCATCAAGCTCTTCTGTCAGTCCCTATATCAAGCTGTTCTGTCAGTCCCTATATCATCAGGCTGTTCTGTCAGTCCCTATATCATCAAGCTCTTCTGTCAGTCCCTATATCATCAGGCTCTCAGTCAGTCCCTATATCAAGCTGTTCTGTCAGTCCCTATATCATCAAGCTCTTCTGTCAGTCCCTATATCATCAAGCTCTTCTGTCAGTCCCTATATCAAGCTCTTCTGTCAGTCCCTATATCATCAAGCTCTTCTGTCAGTCCCTATATCATCAGGCTCTTCAGTCAGTCCCTATATCAAGCTGTTCTGTCAGTCCCTATATCATCAGGCTGTTCTGTCAGTCCCTATATCATCAAGCTCTTCTGTCAGTCCCTATATCATCAAGCCGTTCTGTCAGTCCCTATATTATCAAGCTGTTCTGTCAGTCCCTATATCATCAAGCTGTTCTGTCAGTCCCTTTATCAACAATCTATTATGTCAGTCCATATATCATCAAGCTCTTCTGTCAGTCCCTATATCATCATTCTGTTCTGTCAGTCCCTATATCAACAATCTCTTCTGTCAGTCCCTATATCAACAAGCTCTTCTGTCAGTCCATATATCAACAAGCTGTTGTGTCAGTCCCTATATCAAGCTGTTTTGTCAGTCCCTATATCATCAAGCTCTTCTGTCAGTCCCTATATCAACAAGCTGTTCTATCAGTCCCTAAATCATCAAACTGTTTTTGTCAGTCCATATATCAACAAGCTCTTCTGTCAGTCCCTATATCAAGCTATTCTGTCAGTCCCTATATCATCAGGCTGTTCTGTCAGTCCCTATATCATCAAGCTCTTCTGTCAGTCCCTATATCATCAAGCTGTTCTGTCAGTCCCTATATCATCAAGCTGTTCTGTCAGTCCCTATATCATCAAGCTGTTCTGTCAGTCCCTTTATCAACAAGCTATTATGTCAATCCATATATCATCAAGCTCTTCTGTCAGTCCCTATATCATCAAGCTGTTCTGTCAGTCCCTATATCATCAAGCTCTTCTGTCAGTCCCTATATCATCAAGCTGTTCTGTCAGTCCATATATCAACAAGCTGTTCTGTCAGTCCATATATCAATAAGCTGTTCTATCAGTCCCTAAATCATCAAACTGTTTTATCAGTCCATATATCAACAAGCTCTTCTGTCAGTCCCTATATTAAGCTGTTCTGTCAGTCTCTATATCATCAGGCTGTTCTGTCAGTCCCTATATCATCAAGCTCTTCTGTCAGTCCCTATATCATCAGGCTCTTCAGTCAGTCCCTATATCAAGCTCTTCTGTCAGTCCCTATATCATCAAGCTGTTCTGTCAGTCCCTATATCATCAAGCTGTTCTGTCAGTCCCTATATCGTCAAGCTGTTCTGTCAGTCCCTTTATCAACAAGCTCTTCTGTCAGTCCCTATATCATCATTCTGTTCTGTCAGTCCCTATATCAACAATCTCTTCTGTCAGTCCATATATCAACAAGCTCTTCTGTCAGTCCATACATCATCAAGCTCTTCTGTCAGTCCATATATCAACAATCTCTTCTCTCAGTTCCTATATCAACAAGCTCTTCTGTCAGTCCATATATCAACAAGCTCTTCTGTCAGTCCATATATCAATAAGCTGTTCTATCAGTCCCTAAATCATCAAACTGTTTTGTCAGTCCATATATCAACAAGCTCTTCTGTCAGTCCCTATATCAAGCTGTTCTGTCAGTCCCTATATCAACAAGCTCTTCTGTCAGTCCATATATCAAGCTATTCTGTCAGTCCCTATATCATCAGGCTGTTCTGTCAGTCCCTATATCATCAAGCTCTTCTGTCAGTCCCTATATCATCAAGCTCTTCTGTCAGTCCCTATATCAACAAGCTGTTCTATCAGTCCCTAAATCATCAAACTGTTTTTGTCAGTCCATATATCAACAAGCTCTTCTGTCAGTCCCTATATCAAGCTATTCTGTCAGTCCCTATATCATCAGGCTGTTCTGTCAGTCCCTATATCATCAAGCTCTTCTGTCAGTCCCTATATCATCAAGCTGTTCTGTCAGTCCCTATATCATCAAGCTGTTCTGTCAGTCCCTATATCATCAAGCTGTTCTGTCAGTCCCTTTATCAACAAGCTATTATGTCAATCCATATATCATCAAGCTCTTCTGTCAGTCCCTATATCATCAAGCTGTTCTGTCAGTCCCTATATCATCAAGCTCTTCTGTCAGTCCCTATATCATCAAGCTGTTCTGTCAGTCCATATATCAACAAGCTGTTCTGTCAGTCCATATATCAATAAGCTGTTCTATCAGTCCCTAAAGCATCAAACTGTTTTGTCAGTCCATATATCAACAAGCTCTTCTGTCAGTCCCTATATTAAGCTGTTCTGTCAATCTCTATATCATCAGGCTGTTCTGTCAGTCCCTATATCATCAAGCTCTTCTGTCAGTCCCTATATCATCAGGCTCTTCAGTCAGTCCCTATATCAAGCTGTTCTGTCAGTCCCTATATCATCAGGCTGTTCTGTCAGTCCCTATATCATCAAGCTCTTCTGTCAGTCCCGATATCATCAGGCTCTTCAGTCAGTCCCTATATCAAGCTCTTCTGTCAGTCCCTATATCATCAAGCTGTTCTGTCAGTCCCTATATCATCAAGCTGTTCTGTAAGTCCCTATATCATCAAGCTGTTCTGTCAGTCCCTATATCATCAAGCTCTTCTGTCAGTCCCTATATCAACAGGCTTATTTGTCAGTCGCTATATCATCATGCTGATCTGTCAGTCAATATATCAACAAGCTGTTCTGTCAATCCCTATATCAACAAGCTGTTCTGTCAGTCCCTATGTCAGCAAGCTGTTCTGTCAATCCCTATATCAACAAGCTGTTCTGTCAGTCCCTATGTCAACAAGCTGTTCGGTCAGTCCCTATATCATCAAGCTGTTCTGTCAGTCCCTATATCATCAAGCTGTTCTGTCAGTCCCTATATCAACAAGCCGTTCTGTCAATCCCTATATCAACAAGCTGTTCTATCAGTCCTTATATCAACAAGCTGTTGTGTCAGTCTTTATATCATCAAGCTGTTTTGCCAGTTCCTATATCATCAAGTTGTTCTGTCAGTCCCTGTATCAAGCTGTTTTGTGTGTGTTTTGTGTGTTATTAGCATTTTCAAAAAAAAAGGTTAAGACAAATACTGGAGTAAAAAGGCACTTTTACTTCACTACTCTTACTGCTGCAGCTGCATTGTTGGAAATGCATAATTTTGTTCTGTTAAAGTATTTTGTGTTTTAAAATGTATAATGTGTTGTTGTGTTCAAACATTTTATATTTTCTTTCATGTAGTGGCCCAAGCCTTGAGGATGATGATGATAGCGAACAAGGAGGTGAGGGGACTGGGGGTAGAGGTGCAGATGTCAGACCTAATGGTGTGAAAAAGGAGAAGACAGCCCAGCAGAGAGCCGGAGAAGCTCTGCTAAAACACATTCTTGACCAAGTTTCTGGAGAGTGCTACAGTTTTAGGTTTGTGATTGCTATCTGATAAGATTGTCTTAACTGATATTTGCCTGTTTGTCTTATCTGGTATTTGTCAGTTTGTCTTATTGTCTTTTTCTTCTTTTCTTTCATCCGAATGACATAATTGCGTTGTGCCTGTTTACAGCAGAGCTGCGATATTTGCGCCTTTTGGTCGACACATCCGACTTCATCTAGCATTTGTTGACTGGATTAGCTTCACAGATAGTTTCGTGGAACATGACATAGCCTTATTTGTGCCGTGTTCTCTTTGTTCCCCTATCTACAAGTGTTGCCCATGAAGAATCCATCCAGGGCAACGGCATATAGACTGGTCGGTCCTGAAGGGAATACAGAGGCAGATTATGGGTACTCCCTGCCATCTAAGAAAGCTTCCATAAATGCAGAGCCAATACATGACGCTCTGATCCTGGGTTCACTTAAGGAATAGTCATATCCTGCACATGACTGCTTAACCTCACAACCATGTGTTGAGCTTCCCACTCTTCATGGACTACGCCCTCAGGAGATCAGTGGGAAGCAGCCCGCAGGTCCGTGACTTTGATGACCACACTGATAGGTACATTTTTCTTTAGCATATTAGACACCTTTAACTTTGTTTTATCTGGGCTCTAGCCATGACAGTATGGTTACGACAAGCATGCATCAGGCATGGCTTCCCCTATATATATGTGTGTGTGTATATATATATATCTTATCTGACTACATTTTTTAATACGTAATCTTTCGCCTTCCATATTTTTCTGGTACAGTGCCCCATGACATCTCCCATTATGTAACATAACATTTTTTATGATGTGACATAACAATTTCATGGTGTGGCATAACAATGTTCATGGTGTGAATACATCTCTTATTTTATGACATTTTTTTTTAATGGTGACGTACTATTTTTCATGGTGACATAGCTCTCACTTTGTGATATAACATTTGTCATGATGACATAACATCTCTCAGGTGTGACAGTATATCTTTCATGTTGTAACATAACATGGTGTGACATAACATCTCCAATAGAGTGACATGAGATTCTTTTATTATGGCATGGCATCTCTTAGAGTGTGATATGACATCTGTCTTTTTTTTTCCATGGAATCTTTCGGTGTGTGACATGGCATCTTTTAGTGTGTGACATGGCATCTTTCAGTGTGTGATATGGCATCTTTCTGTGTGTGACATGGCATCTTTCAGTATGACATGGCGTCTCATTGTATGACATCTCTTATAGTTTGGTTTGACATTGTTCAAGTTGTGTAAAACTCTTTCTAGTGTGACATCTTTCATGATGCGAAATGATATCGGTCATGGTTTCACATGTCATATTTCATTATGTGACATAATATCAGTCATTTTGTGATTTGACGTCATTCATAATGCAACACAGCATCTCTCATAAGTGACGTGACATATTTCCTAATGCAACATGATGTCAGTCATGGTGTGACGTGACATTGCTCAGGATGAGGATGTTCTAATACCCACAGTGAGGCTCTGCCAGCACTGAGTTACTTCCAGTCTCGACAGATCAAGCCCATTGCCTGGAAATGTAACCTGAAGATTGGCAACTTGGACATCCCAGTGAATGGATACGTGAAGGTAATGAATACGGGGCAGTTGTGGGTATGTGAAAATATGAGAATGGAAAGATAATTGGTTAGGATATTACCCATATTTGGGGGGGGGGGGGGGGGTGGGTGGTTTAGACCAACTGCCGCTACAAACACATCATGGCTTATCAGGAGTGTTTCATTTAAAGTTGAAGTGCATCTGCCTCAGAGGTGAGGAACCAACAGTCTGCATACACATAGGCCAGATCTGTGAAATCCAATCTCTGCAACCAAAGTCCAGTGGTGGACCGACAACCAGAGCTTTTCATCTAATTGTGGATGTGTGTAGACAGTATATACTTTACATCTGGTAATGACTTTACATCTATTTTTATCATTTGTATTTACTTGTCTCCCTGTGTAACTTGTGTGTAGATGGTCTGTGTATATGTATGTGTGTATGTATGTATGTATGTATGTATGTGTGTGTGTGTGTGTGTGTGTTTAATTTACATCTGGTAGTTGCTTTACATCTCCCATACAATTTGTTTTTTACCAGGAGGGGAGAGGGGGCAGATATTTTATACTTTGTTCTCTAAAATAGAGCCCTGAAACCAAGAGGGGGGAAGTATTTATAATTGATTTACATCTTGTAATGACTTTCCATCTTCCTGTATAATTTCTATATACTTATCATCATCATCATCTCATCTTGGTCCTTTTGTACCTTCCAGTATCAGAGTGAATTATAAATTATGTGAGGGTGCCAATTTATGTGCTTCGTATATAGGTCGTCAGTTGGTACATCATTGCTAGATGTAGTATTCTGTCTGTTTATGTACTTGTTTTTCTAACCTGTATAAACTTGTCTCTGTAAGAAGCATTTGTGCTCTTTGCTGTAACACATGTATACTTGTCTCTTTAACTTGTATGTACTTGTCACTATAACACATATGTGCTTGTCTCTGTAACACATATGTACTTGTCTCTGTAACGTGTATGCACGTGTCTCTACAACACATGTACTTGTCACTGTAACACATATGTACTTGTCTCTGTAACACATATGCATGTGTCTCTGTAACACATATGCACGTGTCTCTGTAACACATATGCACTTGTCTCTGTAACTTATAAAGATGTATCTCTGTAACACATATATACTTTTCCCTGTAACACATATATCCTTGTCTCTGTAACACATAAATGCTTGTCTATGTAACACGAATGCACTTGTCGAATTAACTTGTTTGTACTTGTCTCTATAATGCATGTTTGCTTGTTTCTGTAACTTGTATCTACCTGTCTTTGTAACACATATGTACTTTGTAACATATATGCACTTGTCTCTCTAACACATATGCCCTTTTCTCTGTAACATATATGCACTTGTCTCTGTAACACATGTGCACTTGTCCCCTAAACTTGTTCAGCTTCTTGTCTCTGTAACTTGTTTGTACTTGTCTCTATAACGCATGTGTGTTTATTTCTGTAACTTGTATCTACTTGTCTCTGTACCTTGTATGCCCTGAAGTATTAAAAATATATAAAGGTTATTGATTTTGGGAAGGGTGGGGTCCCACACTCTATATGTTATTTTTGTTGTCTCTAAAACATGTCTACTTGTCACTGTGATGTGTGGCACTTGTCTCTACAATCTGGGTTTTTTAGGTGAAAGATTTTAAGCTGAAACAGAGCTGGAAAAGAGTCTATGCCCAGGACACAGCTGTTGCCCCTGGCACGTTGAGGACCTACCACATGAACAATGAGGAGGAAACAGAGGTTGAGAAGGAGGATATGGTTGAAGGTTGGCATATGTGTCATGTATTTGTCTGCCATGTGGTATGTTAGACAGACTGTTTAGTTTAATACCTCTCTGCATTATAATTGTATGCAGTATGTAGCTCTCATTTAATGTCAGAAAGAAGGTGCTAAAATGTTACATCAAACCTGTTCTTTTGTATGGCAGCAAATCTTGGAATGTCAGTGAACAAATTAAGAAGAATTTGGAAGCAACAGAGATGTGTTTTCTGAGACAAATGTTACGAATAATTTAGACGGCCAGAGTAACTAACAACGATTGTTTGAAAGAAGCTAATGAAAGTAGATCTCTATATTAAAAAAAATAAGAGAGACAAACACTGTTCTTTGGCCACGTAATGAGAAGAGAGACATTGGAGAACATCATGACAACTGGAAAGTTCTGTGGAAAAAAAGGGTAGAGGCAGACAAAGAGAGATGATGATGAATGGGCTGAAACAATGGCATGAAGGGATATCATCAAGAGAGCTGTTCCAGGCAACCAGGGATTGTGATCTGTGGAGATGCATGAATGCCAAAGCCAGTTAGCAGGGCACATGATGATGATGATTATATTACTTACAATGTTTTTTTGTCTGTGTTTGTTATATTAGTTGGACTGTCAATTCAGTTCCAGTCTGCCTTAAGACTGTTAGTTCAGTTTATCTCTGCATTTGTTATAAAAGTTAGACTCTTAGTTCAACTTTTCTCAGCATTTGTTGTATTAGACTGTTAGTTCAGTTTATCTCTGCATTTGTTATAAAAGTTAGACTCTTAGTTCAACCTTTCTCAGCATTTGTTGTATTAGACTGTTAGTTCAGTTTATCTCTGCATTTGTTATAAAAGTTAGACTCTTAGTTCAACTTTTCTCAGCATTTGTTGTATTAGACTGTTAGTTCAGTTTATCTCTGCATTTGTTATAAAAGTTAGACTCTTAGTTCAACCTTTCTCAGCATTTGTTGTATTAGACTGTTAGTTCAGTTTATCTCTGCATTTGTTATAAAAGTTAGACTCTTAGTTCAACCTTTCTCAGCATTTGTTGTATTAGACTGTTAGTTCAGTTTATCTCTGCATTTGTTATAAAAGTTAGACTCTTAGTTCAACTTTTCTCAGCATTTGTTGTATTAGACTGTTAGTTCAGTTTATCTCTGCATTTGTTATAAAAGTTAGACTCTTAGTTCAACCTTTCTCAGCATTTGTTGTATTAGACTGTTAGTTCAGTTTATCTTTGCATTTGTTATAAAAGTTAGACTCTTAGTTCAACCTTTCTCAGCATTTGTTGTATTAGACTGTTAGTTCAGTTTCTGTCTGCATTTTTAAAATAAAAGTTACTCTTAGTTCAACTTTTCTCAGCATTTGTTCTATTAGACTGTTAGTGCAGTTTCTGTCTGCATTTGTTATAATTGATTAGAGGGTTAGTTCAGTTTCCACCTGTATTTGTTATATTATTTAAACTGTTTATTTAACATAATAATTTTTTTTGTGTGCCTTTGTTATATTATCAGTACAACTGTTAGCTTTTTTTTTGTGTCCCTATTTTCTATATTGCTTCAACTGTTAGTGTTATTTCAGTCTGCATTTCTTATAATATATTATTCTTAATTTAGTTGTCTGCATTTGTTATTTTAGGTGGATTCTTAATTTAGTTTATTTTTGCATTTATATTTTTGTTAAAAATATTTTTTCAGCTGTTAATTGTTTTATTTTACGGTAAGTCTGTGTTGTGATTTATTTGAAAAAGGTAAGAAGCTTAAACTATCAATTGATTGAGATTGTTTTTATAGTGGGTTACACAATAGTACGGAAAGCCTACCATCATCATTATCATTATCATCATTAGGTGCCTTGCCTACTGGCGTGGGCGATCACGCCTTTCCACAATCTGCAATCTCCTGCAGCATGTATTAGTTTGTGTGCTGACAGCTCCATGCCATGCAACAAGACTGTCAAGAATCTTCTCTCGTTGTCTTCCTCTAACCCTCCTTCCACAGATCTTTCCAGTGGTCACAACATGTTCTATTTTCCCTCCTCTCATAACATGGCCGAAAAATGATGACTGTCTCCTTCTGATGTCTGATTAGTTGTTGTCAGGCTCCCCGCCTCTTTCAAAACCTCTTGGTTGCTCTTTTTGGCTGTCCAAAGTATTTTCTGTAAAACCAGATCTCTGAGGCTTCAAGAGTTGTGTTGGCCTGCCTACCGATTGTCCAGGACTCGCAGCCATATGTTTAAACTGGATGTGTGTAGCAAGCAAGAATTCTTTTTCTAACCTCCAATGACAAAGATATATTGCATAAGATGTTTTTCATTTTATAAAATGCAGATTTTGCATGTCCTATTCTGTTTCTTATCTCAGTAATGCATCTTCCATCTGATGTTATCCATGTGCCAAAATACTTAAATTTCTGCACCTATCCCAAAGAAACATCATTGACTTTTATTACATATTTTGGAATAATTCTTTTCTTTGATACCACCATTTCTTCTGTCTTCCCATTATTCAAACTAAGGCCCATTCTTCCACTTTTTACCACCACAATGTCTATCATTTCCTGTAGTTCTTTCTGACTTGTTGCTATTAGTTAGTTAGTCTTTCCTCTTGTGTCGAGTGCGGCACATAGGGCAGAGGTCGCGACTCTCCATGCACGGCGGTCCGTTGCAATCCGTTGTAGGTCTTGGATGTTTGAGTGGCCCATGAGCGAGCCTTCCCTGATGATAGTTCTACGTAGGGTTTCCCTTGGTCTTCCACGAGATCTTTTCCCCTGTGGTGTCCAAATTAGGGCTTGGTAAGGAAGTCTTGATTTATCCATTCTAAGGGCGTGGCCGACATAGTTCCAGCGGCGTTTTCGTATAAAATTAGACACATACTCTTGCCTGGATTCTTGCCTTATTTGTGTATTGGTTCGGAAATCTGACCATTTGAAATTTAGTATTCTTCTAAGGCTTCTAACTTGTTGCTATCAACACTGTATAATCAGCATAACGCAAATATTATCACCATGTGATAAATATAGGCAGTCATGTTTCACCATCTCACCCGATCACCAAAAATCACAGATTAAGTCATTGTTCTTGTCAAGCCCCAGCCATGCAGGTATTTATCACTTTGCCTTTCTCTTTCTCTCTTTCCGTCAGTCTTGCCGATTGTTACCAAGTTTTTGAGTCCATTCCATCTTGTAACGTGTCTGAAAAATGCTGACATCTACGTCTCATTTTTCTCATCAGTGACATTATGACTGTTCTTGAAATCTTGAAGAAGGTGGCCACTGGGCAGTGACGTTAATGATGTGTTTCTTGTGCAGAGTTATGATTTGTTTTATTTTAAACTCTAGGCTATCGTTATGGCAACACCATCGTGCCCATGACCGAGGATGACAAGGAAAATATGAAGTACAAAGCTGAGAAATGTTTGACAGTGTTGGGCTTCACCAAGACAGAAAATGTGAGTAGTGTCAGTGTGGTGTTTAAGTTCCCTGGGTCATCATTGCTCCCTCTAGTTAGAAATGTGAGTAGTGTCAGTGTGGTGTTTAAGTTCCCTGGGTCATCATTGCTCCCTCTAGTTAGAAATGTGAGTAGTGTCAGTGTGGTGTTTAAGTTCCCTGGGTCATCATTGCTCCCTCTAGTTAGAAATGTGAGTAGTGTCAGTGTGGTGTTTAAGTTCCCTGGGTCATCATTGCTCCCTCTAGTTAGAAATGTGAGTAGTGTCAGTGTGGTGTATAGTTCCCTGGGTCATCATTGCTCCCTCTAGTTAGAAATGTGAGTAGTGTCAGTGTGGTGTTTAAGTTCCCTGGGTCATCATTGCTCCCTCAAGTTAGAAATGTGAGTAGTGTCAGTGTGTTTGTCATCATGATCGTTCATGTGAGTAGTGTCGTGCTTTATTTAAGTCCCCCTGAAGTCAGTCATTGCTTCCTCTAGAGTGGGAAATGAGAGTATACAGTAGTCCTCGGACATGATGGTTCACAGAGTGGGAAATGAGAGTATACAGTAGTCCTCGGACATGATGGTTCACAGAGTGGGAAATGAGAGTATACAGTAGTCCTGGGACATGATTTTTCACAGTAGTGGGAAACGAGAGTGTAGTGTAGTTTTGGGACTAATGGGTCACAGGAATCAGAAATGAAAGTATACTGTTGTCCTGAGTCATGATTATTCACAGCAGTAGGAAATGAGAGTATACTGTAGTCCTGAGTTATGATTATTCACAGGAGTGGAAAATGAGTATATATACTGTAGTCCTGAGTCATGATTGTTCACAGGAGTGGGAAATGAGAGTATACTGTAGTCCTTAGTTATGATTATTCACAGGAGTGGAAAATGAGTATATATACTGTAGTCCTGAGTCATGATTGTTCACAGGAGTGGGAAATGAGAGTATACTGTAGTCCTCTGACATGATTGGTCACAGGAGTAGGAAATGAGAGTATACTGTAGTCCTGTGACATGATAGGTCACAGGAGTAGGAAATGAGAGTATACTGTAGTCCTGTGACATGATAGGTCACAGGAGTGGGAAATGAGAGTATACTGTAGTCCTGTGAAGTAATTGTTTACAGGAGTGGGAAATGAGAGTATACTGTAGTCCTGTGAAGTAATTGTTTACAGGAATGGGAAATGAGAGTATACTGTAGTTCTGGGACATGTAGAGAAGTATCTGCCATTGTTGTATTTAGAAACCCACAGACATATATAGTGCACAGCATAGAAATGAAAGACAGCTGTTGGTGTTTGCAATTTTATTTCACTAGTAAGTACCAGTTTGAAGATAAAACTCAGATTATTTAAAGTCAGTATTTTAGGAGTACTATTAGCAAGCTAGAGTTGCTTTTGGAAAGATGAGGCAAATCTGGAAGTCCAACAGTTACTGAAGAGGAGCGAAACTCTGATTCTACAAGAGCATCATTTTGCCAGTTTGTCTTTGTGGAGCAGAATGCTGGAGAATGACCAAAAAGGATGCACACAAGCTATTCACCTTCTACCACACATGTCTACGTAGAATTATCAAAATTTTCTCGCTAGAAACCATCTCAGATACTAAACTTTTTCAAGTCACAAACTAAGAAACTCTAGACAGTATGATGACCAAGAGAAGATTGAAATGGCTTGGCCACATTATGAGAATGAATCCTGATATACCTGCTAAAACAGCTCTGACATGGAGAAAAAAGGGGCGCCAAAAAACAACATGGAGACATACAATGGAAAGTGGCCTGAGTGCAGCATCTCTGACATGGAAAACTGCACTGAAGATTGCACAGGTCAGGAAAGCATGGAAAGTCCTCTCTGAAGCCTCATGCGCCACTAGGCATAAAGAGAATTGACACTGACATGGAAAACTGCACTGAAGATTGCACAGGTCAGGAAAGCATGGAAAGTCCTCTCTGAAGCCTCATGCGCCACTAGGCATAAAGAGAATTGACACTGACATGGAAAACTGCACTGAAGATTGCACAGGTCAGGAAAGCATGGAAAGTCCTCTCTGAAGCCTCATGCGCCACTAGGCATAAAGAGAATTGACACTGACATGGAAAACTGCACTGAAGATTGCACAGGTCAGGAAAGCATGGAAATTCCTCTCTGAAGCCTCATGTGCCACTAGGCATAAAGGGAATTGACACTGACATGGAAAACTGCACTGAAGATTGCACAGGTCAGGAAAGCATGGAAAGTCCTCTCTGAAGCCTCATGTGCCACTAGGCATAAAGAGAATTGACACTGACATGGAAAACTGCACTGAAGATTGCACAGGTCAGGAAAGCATGGAAAGTCCTCTCTGAAGCCTCATGTGCCACTAGGCATAAAGAGAATTGACACTGACATGGAAAACTGCACTGAAGATTGCACAGGTCAGGAAAGCATGGAAAGTCCTCTCTGAAGCCTCATGTGCCACTAGGCATAAAGAGAATTGACACTGACATGGAAAACTGCACTGAAGATTGCACAGGTCAGGAAAGCATGGAAAGTCCTCTCTGAAGCCTCATGTGCCACTATGCATAAAGAGAATTGACACTGACATGGAAAACTGCACTGAAGATTGCACAGGTCAAGAAAGCATGGAAAGTCCTCTCTGAAGCCTCATGTGCCACTAGGCATAAAGAGAATTGACACTGACATGGCATTATACAGCTATGATTGTTTGAAAATGATAGCAGGAATTACACATGAACTAGAGATTGTTCAAAATAAATGTCTAAGGAGAATCTGATAAATTTTCTGGCCTAACAAGATCACAAAATCACAGATGAGGTGCTAAGGAGGAAAACAAAATGTTCCTTACTGGAAAACATTATCAGAGGAAGAAGAGGTTGAAGGCATTGACATATTTGCAAAATTTTGGCAAGGACATCTGTCCATTAGATGGCAGATGGTAAAAGGAGACCTGGACGACCTTAGGAAACATGGAAGACAGTAGAAAAGGAATGAAGGAATGCAAAAGGACATGGACTACCAAAGGCAGAAAAGCAGTAGCAGAGATCACTAGTGAATGCCTTATGTGTCAGCTTTGAGGTGGAGAGAATATCAGATATATAAATATCAAGTGTACATCTCTCCCAGGCAGGATTCAGTATTCATGATGTTACAGGGAGATATCACTCACAAGGTTTCTTTTCTCAGCAAGCTCTAATGTTTTCTCTTTTCCTTCTCACTCCACCCCTTCCACTGTGTGTCCAGGTGAAGAGACATCACTATTTGGGTGATGGAGTCCTGAGTATCACTGCTGAAAAAGGTGATGAGGTCAGTGCCAGCTTGTACTAGTCTGTTCCTTTCCTTTCTCTCACTCCAACCCTTGTGTGTCAGTGCTGCCTTGTACTAGTCTGTGCCTTTCCTTTCTCTCGCTCCAACCCTTATGTGTCAGTGCTGCCTTGTACTAGTCTGTGCCTTTCTTTTCTCTCGCTCCAACCCTTGTGTGTCAGTGCTGCCTTGTACTAGTCTGTGCCTATCTTTTCTCTCGCTCCAACCCTTGTGTGTCAGTGCTGCCTTGTACTAGTCTATGCCTTTCCTTTCTCTTGCTCCAACCCTTGTGTGTCAGTGCTGCCTTGTACTAGTCTGTGCCTTTCTTTTCTCTTGCTCCAACCCTTGTGTGTTAGTGCTGCCTTGTACTAGTCTGTGCCTTTCTTTTCTCTTGCTCCAACCCTTTTGTGTCAGTGCTGCCTTGTACTAGTCTGTGCCTTTCTTTTCTCTTGCTCCAACCCTTGTGTGTCAGTGCTGCCTTGTACTAGTCTGTGCCTTTCTTTTCTCTTGCTCCAACCCTTGTGTGTCAGTGCTGCCTTGTACTAGTCTGTGCATCAGCATGTGTGTGGCTGCTTGTTCTGCTGCCTGTGTGTGTTCTGTAGTGTGTGTTATGAATGGACAAATGCCCAGTAGCTAGGTATATGTAAGTGTATGTATGTTTACACATTAGTGTGTGTATGTGTGATATACATATGAATGAGTATGTTTGCATGTGTTATGTTTCTTGTTCTCTTTTCTCCTCGAATGTTGTAACACTGTTATCGTTTCTGACACATAAAAAGAACAAAAATATATGTTGTATGGTTGTTTCATATTATCTTCTGTAAATGTTGTATGGTTGTTTCAGATTATGTGCTGTAAATGTTGTATGGTTGCTACAGATTATGTGCTGCATATCTTGTATTGTATTTAAAGGTTATGTGCTGCATATCTTGTATTGTATTTACAGGTTATGTGCTGTATAAGTGGAAAGTAAACTGTAGGACACTGAATAAAGCAAAAACAATGACATTTATACAACAACAACAAACAAACAAACAAATTGAAGATATAGACAACTTATTTCAGGCAAACAAATTAAAGAAGCTATATCAGAATGTAGCAGCTCAGCGCCAAGAATAGGATGTCTCTTTCCTCACATCAAGGCCAAGTACGAGGTAAGCTCAATAACTTGTCATTGAAAACTCTTAGCAAGTCTTCCTTTTTAGCATTCACTGCTGCGGAAAGTTCTGGTTGTTCTCAGACACTATAACCTTGAAGGAAACACCCCTAATTAGACACATTTTATGACTTGCTTGCTGGTGGTGGGGAACCGTTAATCACACAGGGGTCTGTAAACAAATAGTAATTTGTGTGTGGCTGTCATCTTACTGTAGTCTACATGTGGCTGTAATTTGATACCTGTAGTTTGTGTTTGGTCATTGACAATTTCAGTCATGCATTCTTACACTTGTGTACACACAGTGCCTATTTTGGGTGGAACTGCCTTTTGCAGAGGACATCAGGACCTTCACCTTTGGTAGCCTTCCTTTGACTGAAGAAGTCACGGTCAACAAGAAGTACAAACCTACAGGTGGAGTGGTTATAGATTATGTACCATATATGTTTGTATGGTTGTTACAGATTATATACCATATATGTTTGTAACAGATTATATACCATATATGTTTGTATGGTCGTTACAGTTTATATACCATATATGTTTGTTACAGTTTGTATACCATATATGTTTGTTACAGATTATATACCATATATGTTTGTATGGTTGTTACAGATTATATGATGTATATGTTGTTGGTTGTTGCAGATTATGTGATGCATATGTTCTATGGTTGTTACAGATTATTTACCATATATTTTGTTTGTTTGTTATAGATTATGTACAGTATATTTTGTATGTTTATTATATACTATATGCTGTATATGTTGTTGGTTTTTACTGATTATGTGCTGTACATGTTGTTGGTTTTTACTGATTATATGATGTATATGTTGTTAATTGTTACAGATTATGTAATGTATATGCTGTATGCTCATTACAGATTATGTAATGTATATGCTGTAGTTGTTACAGATTAGGTTATGTCTTTGTTGTATGGTTGTTAAAGGTCATGTTCTGCGTATGTTTTCTGCATAACTGTTGACTGAGTGGTGAAAAATGCTGCGTAGGAAATACAGACATCAACTGGGTGCAAAACACAATTGGAGGGTTTGAATTTTGCAGGTAATATATAGCTCTGCTAAGTAAGAACCACAGTGATCTGTAAAGAAAAACAGATATTTTATCAAATATAGTATCAAAAGTCAGAAATACAAATTACTCATGAGAAGACAAATATTCTGAAGACATCAGTAACAGATCCAGCATGTATCACACTAGAGACAAGAAGAAGATTTAAAGTAACAGGTCAGTTTAAACGTTTAGGTGGAGGTGGCACTTTTGATTGCTGTGGAACCACAGAGAAAGATGTTATGTAAGGGACGCATTGACAAGACAGCAGCAGCTTTAAAGGTCTTAACAGAATATGGAAAGTTGAAGATCAAGATATTCACTAAAAGTTTAATGCATTGAGAAACGAATTCTTGTGGATGAATTTGAGAAAGGGAACAAAATCCAAGAATTATCTGGACAACCACTGGTGTCAACAATTGTAAAACAAGGAAGATGGAACTATTTTTGACACATCCTGAGGAGAAGCAAATGAAGAATCACCAGACAGGCTCTGAAATGGAAAACAAATAGATTAAGAAAATGAGGATGCCCAAATGAAACCCTGAAATGAACACCGACGAGAGATACCAAGGGTGATGTACGGGATTGTATCCACAGTAGTAGTAAGCACAGACACTATGAAAACCCAAGAATGACAGCTTAGGCCTTCAAGGCCCTGAAAAACCCTGGAACATTTCAAAAAAGGTCCATAATCCTTAAAACTTGTATGCTGTAACTGGGGAAATTTTAATTCAAAGGAATTCATTAGAAGGTGGGGGATTATCGATGACTGGGCTTGTGTTCACAATTGTCATTGTTTTAAATTTGTCCAGTCATTTCTGCTAAACTGTTACATCTTAACTTTACTGATGATTAATGTCTACAGTTGAGCAGTTAAAATGTGTGGATGATTTGATTACAAGTATGGATCTCAGCCAGGCACAAGAGTAAGTGCACGAAGTGACATACTTAAACTCCTGATACAGTAAAGTGTTTAGACTGCGACCTCAATGGGGGGAAGGGGTTGTGTTTGTATATGTGACTCTTGACATAATTATCTTTTGGACTACCTACTTTGTCAGCGTCTGTGGCTAAGACATTGCAAACGCACTTCGTAATGCCGAGTTAGATCCCAGCTGGGGACAATTTGTCTTGCATTGGTTTTGACAATGGTTCCAAGAATTGACAGTTCGGGAGCATTGGCAAACTACTAAACGTAAAATTTGCCTAGAAAAACCACAACAACCAAAAAATACTGGGGTTGGTTCTGCAACATCCTGTAAAGGATACAGGATACACAACTAATTTTTTTTTTTTAACTATCTACTTTACTGGGGGGGGGGGGGGGGAATTATGACTTAATTAACTGTTGGGACTACCTACTTCAGGGGTGGGTGGGGGGGGGGGGGGGTCCTTGTCGGGGGGGGGCTCATAATTTAAAATTAACTATTATACTGCCTCAGTATGGGGGAAGGGGGTTTAGGTTGTGCCATAATTGTTAGATTACCTACTCTGATTTGGGCGCGGGCCTTAAGACATAATTACCTGTTAAGAAATCTTACTTCACTTTAGTAGGTGGGGGCTCTAAGAAAAGGGGGAGGGGGGCCTTCATAAAGAGTAGGCAGGTGCTACAGTGTGAAACAAAACGGAACAGTTTTTTCTAATGTCTGATTAATGTAGGTCATCAGTGAACTTATACACACATCACAGAATGCAATTTTTTTCAAAAATATGATGTATTGTATTAGACACTGATACCGTATTCTACAACATAATGTACCTATTTTGTCTACTGTACATTCAAATGTTATACATATCAAGACCATATTCTACAACATTATTTAGATGTCTTGGGTACATTTATATGTGAGACATGTTGAGATCATAGTTGATGCAATAATTTACATTACATCTGTTGTATAACCTATTTGAGACACTTTGAAACCATGTTCTAAGGCACATATATGGTCTTCTGTGTAATCTCGTGTGAGATATAAGGAAGCATTTATTCTACCATTTTGTCTGGAATATTCCAGAAATGAGGATGGTGAAACTGAGGAGGCCCTGAAACCAAAGATAACCTTTAACCCCTACTTCCAGAGAGTTTATCAGGTGAGAATATTTGTGTAAGTGGTAGTAACATTAGATTGCTGAATCTGAACATCCCTCTTGTAAAAGAAAGATCTGATAGCTGGGTCTAGACATTCCCTTGGTAGAATAAAGATACAATAGATCACTCTAAACATTCTCCTAGTAAAAGTGAGATATGATTACTCAGTTTAGATATTCTCTATGTAGAAGTGAGATATTATTGATCAGTTTAGGTATCCTCTATGTAGTAGTGAGATATGATTGCTCAGTTTAGGTATTCCCCAAGCAGAAAGGAGATATGATTGCTCATTTTAGGTGATCCCCGTGTAGAAGTGAGATATGATTGCTCACTTTAGGTGTTCCCCATGTAGAAGTGAGATGTGAGTGCTCAGTTTCGGTAATCCCCATGTAGATGTGAGATTTGATTACTCAGTATAGGTATTCCCCATGTAGAAATGAGATATGATTACTCAGTTTAGGTATTCCCCGTGTAGAAGGGAGATATGACAGCTCTCTTTAGGTATTCCTCATGTAGAATTGAAATATGATTGCTCTTTTTAGATATCCCCCATGTTGAGGTGAGATATGATTGCTCAGTTTAGGTATTCCCCATGTAGAAGTAAGATATGATTGCTCAGTTAAGGTATTCCCAATGTAGAAGTGAGATATGATTGCTTAGTTTAGGTATTCCCCATGTAGAAGGGAGATATGATTGCTCTGTGTAGGTATTCCCCATGTAGAAAGGAGATTTGATTGCTCAGTTTAAGTATTCTCCTTCTAAACGTACATGTGATGACATATTGTGAATAAATGTATTAAATTAATCTCCTTCTGTCAGTGCCTGCAACACCGAGCTCTCCACCCAGACGACCCCCTCCCTGAACTATCACCACTTATCTCTCACTATCTGGAACCACCTTCAGGGATGGTTGCCAACATCCTGCCTATCCTGGATAAACTGAAAAAAGTCTTCAAGCTGGAGGTTGTGGAGAGGAAGAAAGAGGAGCAGACTGGAGAAGCCATGTTTAAAGATGGGTAGGTCCAGACCTGAGAAATTATATATATGGTTTGAGGAGAAAAAACCCTTAAGTAGTTGCCTTTTACAACATTCTTTTTTTTTGTTGGGGAGGGGGGGGGGGGGGGGGGGGGGGGGGGGGGGGGGGGGGGGGGGGGGGGGGGGGGGGGGGGGTGGTGGTGGTGTTCGTATCACACCCCCCCCCCCCCCCCCCCCCCCCAATAGGACCACCTGGAAACCACATAGGGAAACCAGGGGATAAAGATCTGATAAAAAGGAGTAGTAGACAAACCATGTATAGAGATGGTTCGAGTAGACAAGGCATGTTAAGATATGGTTCAAGTAAACAATGTATGTTAAGGGTTGTTCATTGAACATGCTTACAGCTCCATATACAGCAGACTGGAAATAGTTGCTATTTAAAAAAATAGAATTAAGTTTCAAACAGGTATACAAGATTGTTTGCCAAACTGAATTTTCCCATAAACAAGCTGAACAGTGATCACTCACAATGTTTGGTTTCATGTGTTGTATTGCAGTGTGTGTGACCACATGTTTGATGTACTGAATGTTGTCTTTCCTTACAGACAGTGCAATGATCACACATGATGTTTAAAGATCTGAATGATTTTAAATCTAACAGACAGTGCAATGATCACACATGATGGTTGATGTTCTGAATGCTCTCGGATCTTACAGAAAGTGATCACATTCGATTTTTAATGATCTGAATGCTCTAATATCTAACAGACAATAATCACACATGATGTTGAATGGTCTGAAACGCTCTCAGATCTAACAGACAATGATCACACATTTTGTTTAATGATCTGAATGCTCTCATATCCTATAGACAGTGCAGTGATCAATGATGTCTGATGCACTGAATACTCTCAGATGTAACAGAAAGTGATCACACATGATGTTTAACGATCTGAAAGCTCTCAGATCAAACAGACAGTGCAGAGATCACACATGATGTTTAATGATCTGAATGCTCTCAGATCTAAGAGACAGTGATTACACATAAGGTTTAATGATCTGAATGCTCTCGGATCTAACAGACAGTGCAGCAATCACACATGATGTGAATGCTGTCAGATCTGACAGACAGTGATCACACATGATATTTAATTATGTGAATGCTCTCAGATCTAACAAACAGTGCAGTGATCACACATGATGTTTAAAGATCTGCAAGCTGTCATATCTAACAGTCCATTGCGTGATCACACAGAATATTTGATGTACATTATGCTCTCAGATTTAATAGACGTTACAGTGATCATGCATGATGTTTTATGTATTAAATGCTCTTAGATCTAACAGACAGCGCTTTGTGTGATCACACATGATGTAGTGAAAGCACTAAGATCTAGCAGACGGTACAGTGATCGTACATGATGCTTTAAAATATTAAATGCTCTTAGACAGACAGTGTAGTGTGTGATCACACATGATGTTTCGTGTGCTGATTGCTCTCAAATTTAACATCCATTACAGTGAACACTTATGATATTGATACACTAAATGCTGTCAAATCTAACAGACAGTGCAGTGATCACAGATTGTGTTTATCTACTAAATGTTGCTTTATCAAGTAATGCATTGGTGACATTTGATGTTTGAAACAATGTTGTCTTGTCTGACAGATCACACTTGATGATTGATATTCTGAATGTTGCTTTTTTATATCAGATAGTGTAGCGACCACATATTTTTTCTGAGAAGTACTTTGAATTTGTTAGGGGCAACATTTATGATGTGTAATATTATTCGCTTGTCCTTGTTGTAGGGATACGGATGCTGATCCAGTGAAGAAACGTAAATTGGATGACAGACTGGTGGGAGGTCTTCAGAATTTGACCAAAGCTGATGTCACAGAAGTAAGGTTTCTTTGACTTTTATATGTGTGCTTGTGATCTTTTCTTTCATTTCTAACACACATACGCACTCTCACACCTACACACAAATGCAGGATTGTCCTTACAGGGACTATCGGTGAAAATATAGGCAGTATTATGGCAGCATTGATGTGTGAAGGCTTATTGAATAAAGGTGTATCGTGTAGTCTACAGGTGCATCGTACAAAGAGTACATAATGCAGCTATATCATGTACAAATATACAGAATGTAGCTGCATGGTATATAGATGCACAGAAGGCAGGGGTACAGTGCAGACTGGCTCTATCCCTAGCATTCGTCTGATTTTGTGATTTTTGTATTCTGTCTTTCCTTGAAACTCCTGCAGCTCTTCTAAGGCATTTCAACTCTGTTGTCACAATTTTACATTCATTGGAGGATGTATTGATAGCATAGTGTTGGCCAAAAGATAGTTCTGATAAGATTCACTTTAGTACGCTTTAGGTATCTGCTTGTGTGTCAACAGGGGAGATAGTTGCCCCATTACTTGATTAGCTTTGGCACATCTAGAGCTAATTTCTGTCCAGTTTTCCGTCAGATGTGAAAATTGCCCCCAAATACTTAAATTCCTCTGTTTGTCTTATGATGTTGTTTTTTTTTAATTTTATTTCTAAATTGTCTTTCTGTCTTCCTATCACCATTGTCTCTGACTTCGTAGTGTTTATTTTCATATTATATTTCTTCCCTTTGTTACTAATTTAATTTAGGTGGTTCTGAAGGCATTCCGTACTTTCTGCTATGAGTACCTGGTCGTCAGCGAATAGTAATTCCATAATATCTTCTTCATGATTAAAGTTTGTTTCATTACATATGGTATCCATGTATGTTATAAAAAGAAGTGGTGATAGTACACAGCCCTGACGCACACCAGAGTTCATTATAAAAGTTCTTGACAATCCTGCCTTCCATCTTATGCAACATTTACTATGTGTGTACAGGCTTTTGCAAATATTAATGAGATGATTGCTGATTCCTTTTTTTCCCCATACATTCCCACAACATATTCCTGTCGACTCTATCAAAGGTGGTGTATCATATACAGATGTGCATAAATGCAGGTTTGCAGTGCAGATATACAGACTGTAAGTGTAAAAAATGCCAGGATATAGGTTGTATCTAGTTGTATCTTCAGCATAGAGTTGTAGATTGAGAAATAGCGACAGAGTGGCAGACAGGTACTGGTTAGAGGAATGGGAGAGGGATTATCTGTTTATAATTGTTGGTTTTGGGTTTATAGACAAGGTGAACTTGGGGTGGGGATAATATCTGTTTATACTTGGGGAAGAATAGACTGAGGAGGATAAAATCTAATTTTAATTGTAGGGGGATAACAGAGCTATATATGAAAAGAATAGAAGAAGGAGGATCAAATCTTATTTCAATTATAGGTATTTCCAGATTAGATGAGAGTAACTGGAGAGGAAGGACAGTATGTAATTATAGATGAAGAAAATATGAGAGTAGAGATTAAGAAGTTACCAATTTCCAAAGTGGGGGAAAAAAGAAGTAAGCAGTTACAGACTAAGCAGGGAAAGTGGAGAGTATTGCTGTAGTAGGTTAGAAAAAAACTGTAGACAAAGGAGATCACAGGATGTTACATATTAAAACAATAGGAAAGGGAAGATAATAATTATGATTTGAGGGGTGGAGGAATAGCAAACATATATTGAGTGACTGTGAGAGAGAAAATAAGGAGCAAAAGTTTGAGAGAGTATAGGAAGGGTAGCAAAAATATTTTGAGTGACAGTGAGAGAAAAAATAAGGAGTTTAAATGTTTGAGAAAATATAGGAAGGGAAACAGCTGATAGTTATTATATAAGAAAATCATGAGTTGACCTCTTTCCCAGGTTGGGACCGTGACTCCCGTTGATGACTTCCGGTCGCTGATAACCAGGAAAGATAGGGATATGTTTGATGAAGGTGAGTAGCAGCATTTGTTTAATTTTTACATGTCATATTGGATGAACACTTAACTACTTCAAGTCACAAACCAAGAAACTCTAGACAGTTTGATAAACAAGAGAAGATGGTCATGGCTTGGCCATGTTACAAGAATGAATCCTAAAATACCTGCCAAAACAGCTCTCTCATGGACAGTAAAGTGAAAGAGAAAGAAGGGGCGCCCAAAAACAACATGGAGATGAACGATGGAAAGTGAACTGAGTGCGACATCTCTGAAATGTAAAACTGCACTGAAGATTGCACAGGTCAGGAAAGCATTGAAAGTATTCTCTGAAGCCTCATAAGCCACAAGACAAATTGATGATGATGATGTTGGATAAATGTAAGTTGCAGCATTTGTATAGATGGTACTTTGCCTGTCAGATTAAAGGAAGTAGCGTTTGTTTTGCCCCTACATGACCTGTTAGATAAGCGGGTGACTAGGTCAGCTGAGCTGCTTAATTCTAGCAGCTAGTTAGGTTTCCTTCCTGATCTGTTCTTTCACTTCTCATAATTCTTCTTCTTCACACATTCACTGGCTGTAAACTGTGGCTTTAGTCTCTAGACTTAGTCTTGTTACAGAACCTGAGTGTTGCGTACTCATCCATTTAACAGATCTGACTTAAATTGTATGCAGATTGTTGGTTTCTTGCCCTTCAGGCAGATGCACTCAGACTTCGAAGGAAGCTTCCAGTTAGTCGACTCTTATGACATGCTTGTTGGGCAGGCAATGGGTCTGTTCTTGTTTTCCCCATAGTGGAGCCCAGGAACTCACACTGGGTACTTCTCATAATGATGTAGTCATACAAATCTGGACTGCTAAGCCGTGCTAAGGCATAATACTTTACTGTTACTTCTCAGACTCTCTTGACGCATTGTTCTACATCCAGAAAAACTCTGCACAAGTTGCAAAAAATGACAAACAGCTACATAGTTCTTTTACCACCACTTTGTTCTGTTGAAATAATCACAGTTAATTTACTTATAAAATGTCACTACTGCTGTTACTGTAGTATAACTCTTGCACTAACTGCTAACACTACCTCCATGTGGTATTGCCTCATTGTAGTTGTCGCTCAGATGCTTGGTCAGTGACTGCCTTCAGCCTGCTTATAAACTGCACTTGTTTTACCTCCTGTAGTTGACTTGGCTTCTGTGGTTTGTGTGTGCACTATGGTAATCACATATTTTGTGTTTTGCTGCTGCTACTGCTTCTTTCTTCTTCTTCTTCTTTTTCTTTTGCTGCTGCTGCTCCTCCTCCTCCCCCTCCTTCTTCCTCCTCCTCCTTTTGTCTTTCACTGATACAAGGTTGCCCAGAGTTGTAGTTTTTTGCATTTGTCTTGAGTAGTATTGGTTGATTACACCACTGCCAGCTTGTTAAGCCCATTGCATGGCGGGGAAGGGGGCTCTGCTCTGGTTGGGGCCTGTTTCCTGCCAGGTGAGCCATTGCCCTGTTAGCCTGTGTTTTGCTGACAGTGTTATATTGACTTCAGCTCCATCCTACAATGATCTTAACAGGAAGTATCATTTCTTTAGTCTGTACGTGACCTGTCAGATAAAGGAAAGTTGCAGCGTTTGTAGAGTGTGTAGGTGCATAGGCTCCGCAGCCTGGCAGCTCAGCCAGTTAAGCCCCCTGAAGAAGTTATCCTGGGAGACTTAGTGCCCCCACCACCAAAAAAATGTGAGGAGACCAAGCAGCCTCCATTAACCAAGCATACAAATTCTCTTTTAAAGTAATTGATACATTTTATAATATTTCAGATATATTATATTTGTTTGCCATTCAGCCCTATGATTATTGTAATTATTATTCCCCTATTTTGCTACCCAGCATGCCAGCAGATTCAAAAAAGAATTGAACAGCTAGTGATTGATTCATTTGGGCAGCAGTTTTATGGTAAAGCGCTCGATTGTCTCAAGATTTTACGGCAAGAGTGTCTCCAGGTATGTTCACTGGTATTTTCAAATATACCATTTTTGTATGGTGTTATATTTGAGAATTTTGTTACAGTTGTGATGTTGGACATCAGTGCAGCTGTGAAAATAAATATCATTTTATTGTTATATCTGTGATACCAACATCACTGTAGTGTTATAGCTGTGATACTAAACATCATAGTATTATTATATACATGATACCATCATTATTGTATTGTTACATCATTGTAGTGTTTTAGCTTTGATACCAACATCATTGTAGTGTTGTGGCTGTGATACTAAACATCATTGTATTGTTACATCTGTGATACCAACATCATTATATTATTACATCATTGTAGTGTTATAGCTTGATACCAACATCATTGTAGTCTTGTAGCTGTAATACCAACAGCATTGTAGTGCTGTAGCTGTGATACCAACATCATTGTAGTGTTATAGCTGTGATACTAAACATCATTGTATTGTTATATATGTGATACCAACATCATTGTATGTTTAAATCATTGTAGTGTTATAGCTTTGATACTAAATATAATTGTTATTTCTTTGGTATTATACATCATTGCAGTGTTATAGCTGTGTGACTAAACATCATTGTATTTTTATAACTGTGGGATTGTAGATCATGTAGTGTTATAGCTGGTATACTGGACATAATTATATACTTAAAAATGTGTATGTTGCACACTGTGCAGTATAATGTTGGTGGTTACATGTTTGACAGTCTGTACTTTTTGCTGGCCAGAAATCAGAACCTCACACGTACAACAGGTTTATTCGCAAGCTCAAGGACACTTTAATTCCTAAAGGAAAGAGAGATTTCTGGGACAAGGTCATTAAAGGTAGGAAATATTCCACTATGCTTGTTAGTGTGAGGACTTGTGTGTCCAGACTGCTCTGTGTACATAGATTTGTGGGGGTTTTTTTGCAGATTTTTGTGTGTGTGTCTCAACTTGATTGTGAGAGTGGGAGAGAGAACTTGTTTGTGTATGAGTGCCTTTTCTGATTTGTTTGGGCCCAGATTTGTTTGTGTCTGGGTATGCCTGTGTCATTTTCCTTTATATCTTCCTACATGTTCCTTGTTATCACAGTGTATTCCTGTGTCCCCATCACCTGACATATCCTAGGAATTTGGAATGCTCAGTCGATTGGTTTGTCCCCTCCTGGCTGCTACTACCCTGAGATAACAAAACTTGTCTCACTAGCAGAGCAGATCCCATTCAGCCTCCCAAAATGTTTTCAATAGGGCACCCACAGCGGCTACACCATATGTTTTGGAATGACTGCATGTTATGTCTGTAACCACTTCTTGTCTGGAGTTGGGTTTTTTTTTCATGATGTCTTTGTGACTTTTATTTTTTATCTGCCCATAGTGTTCTCTGCTGTCTTCAAAAAAACCACCACTAAACATTAACAATAATCTGCTGATTGGGCATAGACAGCCATAGAGCTCAAACACTGAGTACTAGGACATGGAATTTTTAGGACATGGAATTTTGTGGTGGCTTGCAGGGGTTGAAATATGCGTAATGGAGATCTTCTTCAAAGCTGAACATCATCTTGCAAGCTGAACATCTTGTTTCCTGAAAAATCTTGCTAGGTGAATGTCTTGCAAGCTGATTAGCTTCCTGCTAGCTGAACATCTCCCTGCTAACTAAACATTTTCCTGCAACTCATCATCTCTCTGCTAGCTGAACATTTTGCTAGCTAAACATCTCCCTGCTAGGTGAATATCATCTTCCTAAGTGAATATCTCCCCGCTAGCTGAACATCTTCTTGCTAGCTGAACATTTCCTTGCTAGCTGAACATCTCCATGCTATGCTTGTCTTCTTTCATAGCTAATGCATCTTCACTGTCTTGTATCGACCTTCATGGAGGTCAACCTGTGCCTCGTTTTGTGGTGACTGCACCCACAATCACCATTCTTTCCAGGCCAAAATTATGTTTAAGACATTATTTGTTGTTTGCATAAGGCAGTAAACATCAGACATTTTTGTGGGCGTTGTCCTCATATATATATATATATATATGATATATATGGGGCAATAAATATATCAGACTGATATATATATATTGTAAATATATATATATATATAATATACACACACAGCATATAGTAGAGAGCAATAAATCAAAACCGTCAGTTGTAAACATATGTTAATAAACATCAGCATCAGTAGGACATAATCACGATCCCATTGTGTCATTTTATATCACACAGGGCTAGCAGTCTACTCTTTCATTCCATTCTACCCTGTCCAATCCTGTCGATACCATATAGGTGGAATCAGTCCATGCCTTTTAGATCTCTCAGCAGTGTTTGTTTCAGGGTTTCTCTTAGACATCCTCATTTTCATAGCCCATTTGTTTTAAATGTCAGTGCTTGTTTGATGATTCTCTGTCTGTATCTGCTCATGATGTGCCCAGTGTATTTTCCATCTTTGTTGTTTAATCGATGATACAGACTGTTGTCCAGACAGTACCCTTTTTTCTTTACCTGCCTTAAATTAACTCCATTTAATGTTCGTCAGTTTTCTCTGGCATTTGTTTTCTAATGCATTCAATTTTTGTTGGTTGTCTTTAAAGAATGTTGAATTAAGAATCAATATTATAGCACTCAGGACACCCCCATAAGCACTCCGTTCCCATCTTCAGCAGCAAGCAAAGAGTTCCAGTTCCAATGGCACCAGTAACTGTCTCAAATAGGTAATGAATGTCAGACTATTGGTACAACACATAAGTTAATAAACATCAGATTAGTTGTAAACGTAATTAAGTAAATATCTTTGGACCAATAAAGTGGCTACATTTTTGATAGATTTTAATAATTTCTAGATTTTTTTTTTTTTTAAGTATTCGAGTTTATATATATAATTTTTTTTTTAAGTATATATATATATATATTTTTTTATATAAATATATATATATATAATATCACTATTTTATGATATTGTATTTTTATTTTATGAACAGTTTTTATTAAAACTAAGTCTGTCTGATCACTAAACTAGAATGTGAGGACAGCGAGGTCACCATAGAACAAGCACAGACTTTTGCTTCTGGGCAGGTCAAGGTGGAGGATGACAGTTTGAAACCACATGAAGAGGAGACAACTGATGATCTCTTGGATCAGCTGTGAATGTTTACACAATGTCTCACTTGTTGTGTAACAGAGACGAGGACAGGGAATTAGAGCTCAAATAATAATTGATATGAGTTTGCTAACTTTTGTTTTAAGGTTATTGTTGTTGTCAGGGGGTTGTTGTCATGAGATTTGTATAGTGCCATGAGAAATTTGTTGCCTGTAGTCATGAGATGTCTGGTGTCATGAGGTTTGTCTGCTGTGATTATGTTTGTCTGGTGTTGTGAGGTTTGTCTGATGTCATGAGATTTGTCCAGTGTCACGAGTTGTATCCGATGTCATAAGATTTCTCCGATGTCATGAGGTTTTCATCTGGCATCATGTATTGTATCTGATATCATGAGATTAGTCTAGTGTCCTGAAATGTGTCCAGTGCCATGAGATATATGATACCATGATTTGATGATGGGTTTGTCTAGTGGTGTCATGTCTGATATGAGGTTTGTTGGTGTCATGAGATTTGTCCGGTGCCATGAGATGTGTCCGGTGCCATGAGATATGTCCATGATGAGATATGTCGGATATGGGGTTTCTTTGCCTGATGTCATGGGTTTTTTCTGTCCGTCTGGTGAGATGTCATGAGGGGTTTCTTTGTCATGTTGTCATGGGTTTTTCTGCCATGAGATGTTCATGAGATGTTTCGTGATGTCTGAATTTGTTTGTCCCCATGGGGTTTCTTTGCATGTTGTCATGGGGTTTTTCTGAGGCTTGTCATGGCATCATGAAAAATTGGTTGCCTATAGGCACAGTAAAATTATCACTGCCTATTATCATAGTTTTGCTGTGTCTTGTCTGAAGGAAGCTGACACCACCTAGTGCTGCTGCCTGAAGGTTTGACACAGCAACCCAGCTCTACCTCCTGAGAAGCTAGAATTAGGGCATTGGTAACAACTATACCAGGTACTATCCTGGTTTACTGTGTTAACTGAGACAAGTAAGAATAAGTCTGCTGCCTGCTATGGGATTGTTGTCATGAAAGTTTGTTCTCTAGAGTCATGAGATGGGATTGTGTTGCCTCACTGAGGGTCACACAAAAACTGATATCAGGAGGGCAGCAGCCTTGATGAAAGCTATCATGCAGTCCACATCTTCCTGTGTACCATACCATAAAGCTTTGTCTTGATTGAGGTTGGAAAAGGCCAGATTGCTTCTGTTGGCAGCATATGGTTTACAGGCTGTGTCAACGAAGTAATCCAGGTTAAGAGATGTGCCCCCCAAAAAACATAAAACGGACACCATTACCTGAAAATTGCACATTTTTGCAATTAATTCACTTGAATGAAATGGTACATACACAGATATTTTAGCAACTATGTATTTGCATTATTATCATGTGGTTACATTTTCCTCTAATATATATTCCTTGGCAAAATAAAATGCCTTTGCTATCACTGCTGTGAGGCGTCATTTGCTGATAAAAACTGTACATGTGTCAGTTCTTTCTCACACACAGTTTGTTGGAACACTTCATCAGGCATAGAAAGAATCAGCAGTCAGATTCTTCCTTCTGCTGCATCAGTCATTTGTGAGTCACTAACTGTCATATAAAACCATCCGCTTTAAAATTTGCTAAAATGTATACACTGCAAACTGCGGATTGGTGAATTTCTCTCTTGAAGAACAGTTTAGTTATCCCTGGCTATTTTTCTTGTTCGAACTCTTATCCAGATAAAAGGAATTTCTGATAAAAAGAACCTTTTCTTAGGTCCCTAGTAAGTTCTCCTTGTCAGGTCTGCACAGTATTCATCTTACTTCTGGTTTACAGATCATTGATCTTCTGAGTAACTATGAGACATATGGCTATAGAACTGAGGCATCTACCAATGCCAGTCATTGCAGTACTTATTGTTTTTTATTGTACTAGAGAGGAAAAAAAAATAACTTTTCACCTCATAGACTCTCTACCTCCCCCACAATCATGTCATGCAGTGTGACTGACTAAGGACGTTTCCTTGCATCTGCCTGCGAGGTGGGAAACTAACTTTCAGCACACAAATAAGCCAGTTCTATAAAATGTATATACACACACAACTCAAGTTCTGAAAGAAGACCAAATTCCAGAACTGGATGAACAACCTAAATTTTGATTAGAGTTTACAGCTGGTGACTGATAAGACAAAGAAGACAAGCACAAAATGTCTAGAGACATAAACAAAATATTTGGGGGAGATGGATTGTTGCAAATAGAAAGATTCAAGTATGATCCCTAAGAAGGCCATTGTTTTTTGGTGCTCTTAAAAGAATAACATTAGAATAGAAAATCTGCCAAACATTCTTTCTGAATGGTTTACATGTTGAAAGAAAAATTGGTTTGGCATTTGATCGCAGCCTTTCGTGTAAACATGATTTAGATCGTACTGATAAAATCCAAATGTGGCCTGCAGCACTTAAAGCATGGTTGTTACACACATGGAACAAAGACTACTAGTCTTGTTCAACAATTTGTTCTAGTTTTAGTGAACAGTGCGGAGGGGCAAGTAGATCATTACGGTCTGAAGAGAATGACGCTGCGAGTAGTTACCAGGGAATCTGGCCAGCGCTCAAGGGAAGGGCAAGACGGATAAATGTTCAGACAGTTACTGGTGCCATCAGAATTGGAACTCTTCTTATGCATGCTTATGAGGGTGTCCCAAGTGCTATGATGCCGATTCTTGGTTCTCCTTAAAACTACGGCCACTTATTATAGAGTACGCCGGAGT